TAAGCTGATAGCGTATCACATGACTAATCCAAGCAAGCCTGGCCCCCCAGAGGCCCTTCCAGCTTGGAAGAAACAATTCGACGATGGAATTAACAATTATGATCACTTGGATAATGATAATTGGATGGATACAACGACGAGGACGTCGTTCTTCGGAAGGGGGGGGTAATGTCACGGTTATAGAGTCACGTGCCCGCTACGAAATACTCACGTGACCGCTCGCCTGTATATATGCCCTGCCTTCCGGCGCTTCCTTCCTTTCTTTCCTCTTTACCTTTAGATTCTAAGAGATAGCCTAATCGATTCCTCGTCTACGTACTTGAGTCCAACCGTGCTGTCACACAATGAGGATCATTGATCCAGCTGCACCACGTGATCTGGGGATTTCCGCTAGTCGGGATCCTCCGCTTGCCTGGCCTATGGCTCATCTGTCCCGTGATTATGACAATTATCTATTTCCGGTAATATATAAAGAAATAATATATTAGTCTTTATTATTATTAAAATAAAGATTTTTTTATAATATATTGCAAACAGCTTAATTTATAATAAAATAATATTTTTTCTTTATTTATAATAAAAAGAAATAAATAAAAATATTTATTAATTTTAACACCTGATAGCGACTAGCGAGGGAGAATCTGCAACTTTCGAGAACGGGGAAGATTGATCTGGAAGAGACCAAGGCGAAGGGAATTTTATCAGAATAATTGAAGCAAGAGTTCACATTATTGTTGAAGGACATTTCATGATGCTTTTGCTATCTTCGAAGCACCTCAGGAGAGTAGGATGTGAATTCGATTGCGTAGTATTATCGAGTGATATTTGTGGCAAGCAAACACTTACGGATTCTGATGGAATCCATGACTGAAGAGTAGACTGTCCAACCCACTTTTTCGGTCTTAAAAATGGTTTCCAGTATCGAGCAACAGATTGGACAAAGATGTAGATCTCTGCAAATTCCTCAACTAATAGTGACGCAATTATGGCGAAGGTCTGATGACCTGACTCCGACTTCTAAGGCTCTGTCGGATGCTTTGATCCAGTCACTTTCTCTTAGTAGCATAGCATCGCTCTACCTCACAAATATGTTTTCCATACGTGCAGAGCCGAGTATATGAGCAGGGTTCTGTCGGCACGTCAGAGTGCTGGTAAGATCCGAGTTGCGCCTATGAATCAAAAAAGGGGTCCTTGCCACACTCTGGGCGTCCCTGAATTCAATCCGAGGATCATAGTGTTGCGACATTGCGAAAAACCGAACTTGGATGTCTTACCTAACTTCCAAGATTCCCTAGATCTGGATTTTCGCCTCTCAAGAACTCCATCCACGCATCGTCCTGCATGATTACGTCCGCTTCGTATTCATTTATATTTGGCCACATCATAGGGTATACGCTACTCATTTGTGTTTGTGGGCTCTCGTTGATTGGACTCATTCCAAGTCCGTGGCCATCGTGGTCTTCGAGCCCTGGTCCTCGAATGGTACCACCCATGTCTTCTTCGGAGTCATTATGCTGCAGGAATGGCCGACAAAGCTTTAGGATAACTTGATAGCATCGTGGGGACGAAGAGTTTATAGAAGATAGAGAGTAGATGGTATCAAGAGTTATGCGCACTTGAGACCGCCAGTCAGGAGCATGCTGTGAGAGTGGCGAATTGCGGAGGCAAATGCATGGTATCAATGCGCTTGGAAGAGGAAATATCTGGCGATGTCAGTGATCCAAGGCCACCATGATAGAAATCACTCCTTACAAGGCATACCAAGCGGCGACTCGGGTGTGTTCATTCACTTTCCAAAATTGGCTGATCGCATGAATGCTAGACTTCGCTTCATCCAAACACCGTTCATAGGCTTTGTTGCTTTCTGCCGAATCATCCTTTTGGCCATTTCGGTATAAAGCTTTTCTGATAACAAAAGGTCGGTACATGATTATACGAAGATTTCGATATCGCCAGCTCATTACTGCGTGAGCAAAAGCGTATTTGGGAGAGACAGAAGACTGCTCTTTGAAGTGCGAAGGCAGTTTGGATAGCCAATCGCCAATAAGGGTGTCGTCCAGATCCAAAAGTTCTTTTGCAGTCGAGAGTGGTTTTGATATGACCCGTGTGTATATCTGATTCGTATTCCGGTGGAACACAGCTTGTGTGCGGACGGCTGTATATGGTGTGATCTCTGCAACTTCTGCTGGGTAAGATCTCGAGCTTGCAGTCAGCTCCTACGGTCTATATTAGTGTCTGATGCCTCTCAGAACATTGGCAATTTACCTTATCACTGATGTTCATCGGCAATGCAACTTCACTCCCTTTCCAAGGCCAGGTCATTGGCCTGCTAAAGGTAATAGTTGCTCCAACACTACAGATAAGTCAGTCTTCGAATTGAGGAGATGAAGAGACAAAATCAAGTAAGTTGCACTCGAGAAATTCGGCTCTGACCCAAACATTGAGCAAATGTTCGCTTACTCAAACACGCATAGCAACCACCACACTCGCCGCCTGATCTCCATCTTCAGGGCGAGATATTCCACCCTTGAAATTCTTTATGCAGTCCAAGTCCCATTGCCATACGTTGTGCCAGCCCCAAGTAGTTGTATCCGCTGTTTGGCATGTTTCGTTTTTGTTGATAGTTTGATATCAAAGTCAACGCCTGTACTAACGTCAAGTTCCCCACTTCGAGGAGGTTGATCGAGAAAAGCAATTTCGCTTGAGCGAAAATATCAAGATCAGTATTGTCTGATGATGACGTTGCCGTCGTAAAGACGCCAATGGCCGCAACGACATATGCTAGAATGAGCCAACAATCTCCATTTGGTCGAGGTATGACTTCAGAGTATTGCGCCCTAAACATTGGTTCGTGGACGATCGGGTAATTCAGATGATATACTCTGAAATAAGAGTCAATCATTGAGTCCAGAATCTGTCTGTTTGGATTTGGCTGCTCTAACAGTGGTGTTGTCATAGTCCTAGATCCGGATGAGAATCTGTCGAGGCGATTTCGCAAGTTGGTTAATTTCTTGCGAGATTCGGGAAGAGGGTCGATAATTCGAAGCAGCGCAGCTCCAGATGCTACTCCCAGATATCCAGCCTCTCTGTCATCTACGGTCAATGATGCCATGCCATCAATGATATTCTCTTCGATCTCCCCATCTTCACTGGACTTAGAAGCCCAGGATGGCGACTCTTGATCTAGTAATTGACTGAAGGGTGCAGGCCGTTCATCCCATTCAAAATCGTTCACCGGAGGACATTCGAGCATACTTGAGGATGTGGGATCCTCAACAGTGGGTGCGCTGGGTTCTTCATAGGCCTCACAATTCGAAGGGCGATTTGCAGCTTGTGCTGAGCTTGAATCGTGTTGTGGCAGTTGATCCATTAATACATGACTCTCTGATGAATCCAGAAAGTTTGAAGCATCAGCTTGCTGGAAATTTGTCAAAGGCGGGATGAAGAGATCACTCGAGCCTGGAAATGGAGTTTCAGGACTGGAGAAGCTGAAGGCAGCGGGGATGTCATGTTGATGTACAGAGTCTGAAAGAGAAGGGGATTGGCGAGTTTGGGACAGACGAAATCTGGCTAATAAAGCCTCAGCTCTTTCTAACCTCTCTTCCACTTCAGTTAAATGTCTGCTCTTCTGTCAGTGTTGCCACTTCCAAAATTTAGATTCTATTTACGTACTTTCGTGTCAGCGGCGTCCGGGAATGTTTCTCGTACAGGCAGTGCCTTCGATATCGAATGCAGAGGCTGCAAGTCGGGAGCCCTCGATTACACTTAGCTTTCCGTCTCCGACATTCCTTGCAGGCTTGGTCGGCATTCATCAGGCGCATGTGGAAAGAGTCCTGTTCTGCACCGGAAGACAGGTCCCGCGTCCTGTTCGCATCGTTTTGGCTTGTGTCTTGAAGATGATGGTTGTTTTCCATATTCTCAGTGACTGGAACAGATTCATATCTGAATAACCTGCCTCATTGCATTGCACTGAGAGCATAAGAGAAAGGTAAAGATCACATGTCGTGTACAAAAGTGGAGAAAGGAGGGAGTTTTAATCCCCGGTCCTACTGCTTTCCCCGCCCTGCCAAGGAAGTATCCTGCAATCTCAGTGGCCAATAAGCTGCGGTCAACACACTTTTCCAGGCCTAAGGCACCCAGAAGTGCTAACATTCAACACCTCGGGCCTAGAATGCGCTATAATTTGAGGCCTGGAATAAGTCGCTTAGGGCACACCACAGCCTGAAAACGTGGATTTCGCGGCGCAGCTTGGACAATTGCAATCACTATTCTCGGCGGCTTCTGCGTGTGCTGGGTCGCAGCATCGTTAAAATCCTATCTTCACATTTTGGGTCTCAATGCTTGTTCAAGAACAAAACATGACATTCAGGGAATATGTCGATGCATGGTGGTAAGTCGTATACATGACTTTGAGTCTATCTGTGAATTTGCTACTGGAACAACTTCTCATCCTTTCCCTCACACTCTCTCATTCTCGCTAGACCTTCTCTCAACATGTCCCGTAACATCCTCAATTGCATCCTTCGCATCGTGGTCCACGGTAGCTTCTTCACCGTCGAAAATCACTGCAATTTCCTCCAAGCTATGTCCCTTTGTTTCTGGGAACAGAAAGTAAGTGACGACCAGGAAAACTACCAAGAAACAACAGAATACGATGTAGTACTTCCACCCAATATTTTCAAGTCCAATAGGATTCACAAAAGCGGCGATGACCAGAGAGCCGTATATTGCGAATAGCTCGACTGCAATGCCTTTCGACCGTAAGTAGTAAGGGAAGATCTCGGTGGGGTAGGACATCAGAAGAGGTGTGTATGCGATGTCGTAGTGGAAGAAGAAGGTGAACAAACACACTACGACAACGATTCCAGCGGGCTTGGAACCGGTATTCGAGTTCACAGCTGAGCATGCTGTCCAGATAATGTACGAGATTAACATGCCAATACCACTCCAGATGAAGAGTGTCCGACGACCGAGCCTGTCAACAAGAATAGCTGCCGAGAAAGCAGCGCCAAAGTTGAAAATTTGGAGGAGCCCATTGATGAGTGTTTGGTCGAAAGAATCGGTAATCCCAACTGTATCCAAGACAAGCGTGAGATAGTATGATACAACTCCGATGCCATTCCATTGTGCGAAGGCTCCTAGACAGACTGCAATAAGTGTTCGCTTTCGGTTTCCTGGAGTAGCAACCAACGCGGACCAGCCAGTGTTCTTGGCAGCCTTTTCCATGTTGATCGTTTGGATAATTTCAGATATTTCAAAAGAGACGAGAGGCGAAGTGGAGGAGGTGGATTGGTATTCGGGGCCAGCATGGTACTTTGTAAGAATTGCTCTTGCGTCTGATATTCTGTCTTGGTCAATAAGCCACTGTGCATATTAGTCCGTGCCGTCAAAGAGAATTGAACGGAGTAAGTGAGGTCCTGCTTACCCTTGGTGACTCGGGTATCCAGAACCAAAAACAGAGTTGAACCAATGGGAAACCAGCCTGCAAGATCGAAGGAATACGCCATGACCAATCCGAAGTGTAGTCCTGGGTGCCAAAGGTTGTCCACGATGCAAGGATAGCACCTGTGATATGTGAGCAACATCCTCGCGTGAAGAGGAAGACCTACCCAGGTAGTACATTGTCCAAAATGCACTAGTATATTTACCACGATGTGTCGGATACGAGAGCTCAGCAATGAGCATAGGTGAAGGCTGGACCACAAACATCCCTCCAAACCCAACAATGAGACGTGACACGATAAACATCGCCAGGTTGACTGAAGCTGCTTGGATGATTGTCGCGAGGATAATCATGACGATTCCGGCAAGAAGAATTGGTTTACGGCCGAATTTATCGGAGAGCCAACCTACGAGTGGAAGAGAGAGTACCGACCCTATCGACTGAGCTCCATTGACAAGGCCTAGGAGTGAACCTGCTGGGTTTCCGAAGTAGTCTCGCCACTGTTGAAGTGATTGAAGTCCGTTCATGAGAGAACCTAAAGGGAGTTAGACAATCTTTGCTCAGATTGTGTCTATCTACGTACCATCGTATCCGGCAACGGACGAAGACAGGAGAGGGACGAGAAGCAAGAGGTTGAGATGGAGGATATGACGTGTCTGAAACCAGTATTTAGAATTACGAGGGAGCACCTCAGCCAAAGCTGAACCGACAATGTCTTGGTCCTTCATCGTTTAGGGAACTTTAAGGAGAAATCAACGTTGAAGCCAAGCAAAGTAGAGCGAGTTATTGAAGAAAGGGGTTGAGATCGTCAGAGTAGAGCAAAAGACAAAATAAAACTCTGACAATACTACTTATACCTTTATTGCAGATAGACATTCCGATGGAACCACTCATCCTCCTAAAGTTAGCGGTGATTCCTTGTTACCGCCCCAGAAGACTCGGCGCTCATATTCCTTGGGTGCGCTAACATGTCCTCATAGTGGGGAAATACTAGGGCTGCATCAAATTCCTGGGGTTCCCCATACCACAAAGAGTACTACTGTAACCCACACGCCACCCTTCGTGGTTGCCGGAAGTCTGTCACCCTGACTAGGACAAAATGTACAAGCGCATACGGACAACAGAGCCCGAAGGTGATCACCAACCCGCTCTCTTCCGTTTGATGAAACGTGACCAGATGGCGAGTGAATTAGTAAGACCATTTATTCGAGAAGGCATGCTCTGTCACCATGAGTTGATTGCTGTTCTGATAGTAGTATCTGCTTTGCCGTTCGATGTTGTGCAAGGCCCATCCTTGACATGAGTCTCGGCCAACCGAACCAAAGGAAGTAACCCCACTTTCGCCACGACCAAGTCGCATCTTCTCACACGACACTAAAAGCCAAAGTCGCGGCTGCACTGCACGATCTGTATTTAACTACAGCTTATAGTTTATTGAACCTGTTGTGAATTTTAGAAGTGTGTATTCGCTATTGCGCTTCTGCTAGGCGAGAGCTCTCTCGGACACAGTGGGTGCGGTTACAAGAGAAGACACAGTTGTTCTCTCTATCTGGCAGTATAACCTCCATCAATAGCAAAGTCTGCTCCTGTGGTGTAGGAACTTGCATCACTCGCGAGATATAGATAAACCCCTTTCAACTCCCTTGGATCCGCGTCCCTCCTGAGAGGTGTCAAATCATACCATGCTTCCTTCATTTCAAACGGACAGTCTCCAGATATCTCAGTGTCGATGTACCCAGGACTGACTGAGTTCACCCTTCCACCCCATTTCGCCCACTCAACAGCCAAAGATTTCGAAAGATGAATCTAGAAATCAAGTCAGCAGGAAACCTTCTCCCATTGTGCAGTAAACTTACAACACCAGCCTTGCAAACAGCTCTGCTCCTGGGGGACATTTGCAGCATATCCGCTCATGCTAGCGGTGAAAATGCATTTTCCATATCCTTGGGCCTTGAAGACCAAACCCGCTGCTCTGGCACAGTAATAAGCACCGTCAAAGTCCACTGCTCTCACATGATCCCAATCCGAGACCGTCCCGTCCAGTCCGCCTGCATTGGATGGGATTCCAGCGTTCGCAATCATGACATCGAGACGACCAAAATCTTTGACCACTGAGGCCACGGCTTCTTCTACTTCGGCGTAATTTTCGACTTGTACTTTGTAAGTTGCTGTTTTAACATTGAAGTCTTTAGCGATGGTTGCGGCCTGCTTTTGAGCAGTCTTAGAACTCGAATACCAGATAGCAATCTGGAAAGCGCAAGTCAATCTTCTAATCATTGAGGAACAGAGGTAGTACGTACATTCGCTCCTGCTTCTGCAAGACCTCTTGCTACTTCGTACCCAATTCCGCCTGAGCCACCAGTGATGATTACAGTTTTTCCATCTAAGCGGAATGACTGGAAGACACTATCTGCGACAGGTGGATTTACAGCGCGAATGGATTTTCGTGTACCGTTCGTTGCCATTCTGGTGTCAAATATTGGTTGTTAGATCTAGGATAACAATGAATAGAGAGTAAAGCTATGATGAAGCAAAGATGTAGCCAACGCCGGAAGAGTGAGTAGAAGTACAGGCCTCGATGCCTGATCGATAATCCCAGAGTTGCAAAAATTGGGTTGTCATACATGCGTTAACGGAGCACAGATCCAACTCAGAGTTAAGGACAGGGTGAAGCTTTTCGCTTGTTGACGGATGCCATCCTCCGTCAACATCCAACGTCCAGCATTCCGTTTGGTGTTGCCAAGGTGAGCGTTTCCGGTCTCTCCAAGCCAAACTCAGGAACCTGGACGAGAGATAGCAATCAGAAACAAGAAAGTCCATCCAATTGTCGTATCTACTCCTTACGAGATAACTAGTTCAGGGAGCTTCATACATAGAGCACATTTCATGCAATTTCAGGGTCATCCTCACACTGGTCACATGGCGAGTCTCCTACATGCTGGACTGCTGTCTATGTATCCTCTCGTGTGAAACTCTCTCTCAACTTGACAATGCGTATCCTTTGTGACGCTTGAAAAGGACCAAGTATATCAAATATACGATGAGAAACTTTCAAGTGATTTTGGTCTCGTGACAGTTAGCTGGATTGGAGATTACCTCTCTGAATTCGGCGACCAGGACCTGACAAATCCCTATAAGTAGGGCATTCATACTCATAGAATGTGCTCCACCTCACGTGAAATCACAAGTTGTTGACATTGAAAAATAATTGCGGACAGCTGTAGTCCGTCGCGTCTCCCAATGGTTTCGCGACCCCGCACCCTGCTCTTCGAAATCCGATCATAAGTTTTGGCCTTTCTTGCTTCATTCTATCGACTTACCTTCAATTTTCTCTTTTCTTCTTCAAACATTCTCTCAACTTTCAAACCCTCTCGAAGATGTCTCCTTCAGTAACAAACACAGAAGTGGTGAGTCACGTGAATTCATCCCACTGTTGTAAGCTGACCCCTATAGAACCCCGCATTCGTGCTTCACTCGATCAAAAATGTCTCCATTGAGAACCGAGAGATTCCCAAACTTCGTAATGAGCACGATGTCCGAGTCCACATTGAGCAGACTGGAATATGTGGAAGTGATGTGCACTACTGGCAACGTGGAAGAATTGGAGACTTTATTCTGACGAGTCCAATCGTTCTTGGCCATGAAAGTTCAGGCACAGTCGTGGAGATTGGTAAAGCTGTCAAGAACCTAAAAGTTGGAGATCGAGGTTTGTGCCTTCCTTGCTTGGAATCGGGAAAGTATTGATATTCGTCAGTCGCAATCGAACCTGGTGTCCCATGTCGATACTGCAATTTCTGCCGTGAAGGAGCATACAATCTCTGCGCCGACACCATTTTTGCTGCAACACCACCTTGGGATGGGACTCTCCAGAAGTATTACACTGTAGCAAGTGATTACTGCTACCCTATCCCAGCCCACATGTCTGCGGAAGATGGCGCCATGGTCGAACCCACTGCAGTCGCTGTTCAGATTTGCAAAGTTGCGGACTTGCGAGCGAATCAGACGGTTATAGTGTTTGGCTGTGGCCCGATTGGTGTGCTCTGTCAAGCTATGGCGAAGGCGTATGGAGCGAAGAAGGTCATCGGAGTTGATATTTCCAAGGCGAGGACCGAGTTTGCAAAGAAATATGCTGCGGATGAAGTATTCGTGCCAGGAAGAGCTCCCGCAGGCGTGGATCCCGTCGATGCGAGTCGTGCGATTGGAGAGAAAATTATTGCAGAGTTTGGACTTGGAGAAGGAGCTGATGTTATTTTGGAATGTACCGGAGCAGAGCCTTGTATCCAGGCTGGTGTATTTGCTGCTAAGAAGGGCGGGACGTATGTGCAAGCTGGGATGGGGAAGGAGGTAAGTTTGAACATCTGGTAACTCCCAACATTGTTGACAACTGGTAGAATGTCGTCTTTCCAATCACGACAGCTTGCATTCGTGCATTGAATATCAAGGGGTCGATTAGATACACGGCAGGATGTTATGAAACAGCAGTAGATATGGTCGCATCTGGTAAAATTGATGTCAAGGCTCTCATCACACACAGATTCAAGTTTGAGGACGCAGAACAGGCTTTCGAATTGGTTAAGAAGGGGCAGGAAGATGTTTTGAAAGTCGTTATTGAAGGCGTTCTATGATCAATCTGTTTTGAAACAAGTGAATAGACAACTTTAAGCGAGAACCCCCTTTTCGTATTCGAGGCTTCACCAAATTTATACTGGGCGATTCAAACACCATGTTCTGTGATCGTGAAGCTTGGCGCTCAAACTCTGCGTTGTCACAAGATTCATGGCCTTACACTAGCCGAATTAGACCAGGTCGACTGATGTCCGTCGTGCATGTGGATGTTGGACGGTATTAAAAGCTCATTCCTTGCCTTTCCCACTCCTCGCATCACCACACTCACCTAAACCATCACAATTCCACCGCAACCGAAGTCCCAACCACAACCATGTCTCTCGCTGCACACCCAAGCCCAAATGCCCCCCTCCTCTCCCATTTTTCTCTCGCAGGCAAAACTGCTCTCGTGACGGGCGGCACTCGGGGAATTGGTCTCGAAGTAGCCCGTGGTCTCGCGGAAGCAGGCTCTAAAGTCGCCATTAAAGCCTCTGGACAAACGGTCAAAGCCTACAAATGTAACGTGACCCATCAACCAGAAATCTCATCTACCATCGACACCGTCCGAACCGAGCTTGGCAGTGGAGTTCTCGATATCGTTGTCGCGAATGCGGGCATTGCCACGCATCATGCGGGATTGGACTATACTCCTGAACAATTTCAAGAGATCATGAATGTTAATCTCAACGGAGCTTTCTACACTGCGCAAGCTGCTGGACGAATATTCGAGAAGCAGGGATTTGGAAATGTAATTTTCACCGCGAGTGTTAGTGCTATTCTGGTCAATATCCCGCAGAAGCAGGCAGCTTATAATGCTAGTAAAGCTGCAGTTGTACAGCTTGCTAGGTGCTTGAGTGTTGAATGGGTTAAGTTTGCGAGGGTCAATTGTGTTTCGCCTGTAAGAACCCTTGAGTTGAAATGCATGTGACTTACCAAAGCAGGGGTATATTGCGACGGATATGCTTGACATCCATCCAAAGGAATGGAGGGAGAAGTGGTTTGGGATGATTCCTGCGGCGAGGTTGTGTGAACCTGCCGAGTTGAAGGGGGCTTATGTCTTCTTGGCGAGTGATGCAAGCAGTTACATGACTGGTAAGTGATCACGAGTGGCTTGCGCATATCCATTGACGTTCGACAGGAGCAAATTTGGTTATTGATGGTGGATACACACTTCCATAAGTGATTGTGAGCGCGATCGGCATCTTTAATTGTCCAGTGGTGAGGGCTTTGAGGAAGGAATTCAGGTGGGTGAGGTAGAGGCAAGTTAGAGTCGAAAGAAATTGGGTGTAAACAACGCATTGATGAAGTTATCAAAACAACGGTTTGCCCTAACAGTAATCCCGATTCTTACATTCATACTCTTTCTTAGTCCTACTGTGGCTCATTTCATGTACTTCTTGAGAAGTGGTTGTTGTGAATCGCAAGGTGGTAGGAGGTATGAATTATAAGGTCAAATTCCAAGATACTAAAACGGAGAGGAATTTGTCATTAATTGTTGCTGTGTTGTCAACTGGGATTTAACGATAGGCTCAAAGCATGAGGGAAAAGGGGTAGCGGGGTACGTCACGTGTGTCTGACAGGGATGAGTGAACTCGGCCGAAACAATGACGAATTTCAAACCTTCTTCCCTTGATTATCTCTTCCTCGTCTTCATCAATATAAAGAGGACCGTCGCAATCGTCCCCGTTGCACTTCCTCAAACTCTCAGCGAGATACCGTATCCCCCAATCAGCAATCTTCATTCCACCGACACCAACCAAGGGAGCAGCGAGCTGCGAGCTGAAGTACCTGGCTGGCGCAAACATCCAGATTGGGATTCAGATACTTGATAGCAGAGTAATTGGCCATCCACTCCTGCATTTTGCAGACCGCCTCGCTTTTCAACTCGCTGATACGGTAACTAATAGATATCGATCAAGCGCCATTTTGCTCAGCGCGGGAAAGTTGTCAGCTCTAGCAATACTCTAGGCCAGACAGAGCTTCCGGGATTGATCACCTCTCCAATATATATACTCGTCCTCGCAGAAGTTTTCCGTCTCGCTTCAATTTCTCCATTTTGTTTCTTTTCGTTCTCTTTGAAAATACTTAATCGACAACATGGTGGTCCAGCCCACTGGAATTGGCGCCTTGCCAAACGAGGTACGTCGATTTCCCCCTGAAACATTGTGGCGGAACAAGGCTGAAAAAGCAAACATCAGATCCTCATTTCGATCCTCTCGACCTTTTCGACCATCTCCCTCCTTCCTCTGACCCTTACCTCCCATCGCTTCCACTCCTTGATCGCTGGAATACTGTATCGCCGTCTGATAGACATCGCCCAACTGAAGGATAGGAATCTTCTACTCGAATGTTACCACCCTTCCACCAAACTATCGACACCCTCACTGAGTTGCGAATATCTTGGTACATCGGAGCTAGATGGATCGGGCGAGTCCTCAGAGGCAGACCTATATGCAGGTTTGAAAGAATGTAAGATTGGACAACTCGGGAAGCTGGCTGGCCTCTATTCGCACTTCAGACCCTTGAAACCAGAGGCTGAACGCAGGACTGTGAGACGCCATCCTGCAGGTGGTTCTTTCATTATGGCGGCCAACGACCTCGTCGATGACCACGAGGAGTACGTCTGTCAAAATGTCCACCTGGAGGCACACGAGCGCTTCAGCCAACTCTGTACGGTCACGAATGTAGTTAAGCCTGGGCCAAGAGGACTACTACTAGGATGCGTTAACATTTCTGATGGAGTCACAAGAGTTCAAAGGCACTGGTTAGCTGCGCAAGCAAGATCCAATCCCGAAACAATGTCAGGGGAGAAGAGAGAGAGACTTCTTTGGGCCGACAATAGCGAAAATGTCGGTCTGAAAATGAGGGTCAAGGAGAGAGACGATGGCGCTACCCCCATATTGGTCCGAGATGATGAGGACGAAGCAGTGAGCTATACTCTGCAGTATGAAGGTATGCAGCCCATCTCGCCCTTCTAGTTTAGAGTGCTAATAAAGTACAGAATTAGTGATCAGGACGAAAGAATTACTTCTCATGGTCGAAAAAAGCATTGACCAGGAAGTCAGCCATTCAGGTAAAGCTATTGTGATAGGATCTTGGGACCAATGAGCTTGGGACCGGCGAAATTCGAACTGGATATCATTCCATTTACACAAATGCATGCTTACCGTACGTCTTCAACACACAGGAATGTATTGCGATAGAGATGGTATCTTTGGAGTTGACATACTCTCCCCAACACATATGTCCTGGGCTTGGGGATGGAGGGCAAACGGGAGAGTTTCGTGAAGAGATTTTGGTCCGTCGATAGGCAGGCTGGCCAACATTGAAGCAGGACAATAGACAGTGACGTTGCTCGACTTAGTGAACGATTCTTTCTCCCTTGTGCGCCCTTCATATGATTCAGGGGTCCATCTAATGTCGCCGTGATACTGCGCCCATGTCCTCGGATCCATTGGATATGTCATTGACGCTGCGCCGCTAGATGTAAGAGCGCAGGCAGCAACGGTCTGAAAATACACCGTGCCAAGCAATCTGTTCGTTCCGGAAGCAGCCCTATCTCGACGACAGCAGTCAAAAAAGTCAAACATCAGACGATAAGCTGGCTCACTTGTCCCTAAGGCCGAGAACGGTCGGCAAACCTTGCTCGATCGGAAGAATCTAACGATATGCAGGCTGGCGGATGGCAGTGTCGTACTGAAAACTAAGCTTCTTGATTGGAAACAGAAATAAGATTTGCTTGGCTGTCCTTAGTCGGGGCGATCTTCCGAGGAAAGGAAAAAGTGGAAAGGCGCAGCATACGAGAGGAGCTGGCGGGTAACTTGGAGGTCGGGATTTGGCCATATGGATGGATGGACTGATGAACAAAGTTTCCTCACTTAGACGTAGAACAACAGAACACATCAAAGGTTCAAGTAGCCGTCGTTAAAGCGAGTCCATTTCCACTAATAATGCAGGAGTAGATTCTCTGTGCGACGAAACAAATATCCGTTTCATGCGCGCCGCAGAGCCCCCCACCCCAATCTTCTCCCATGCACGTGTTTGAGTTGGGCTGTGCCATTGCCGGATCCCTGCGTTGATCATTCAGAAATGGTGTCTGCGCCAAACGCAAATCTCAGGGTTCGGTCATCCTTTTCAGCTCAATTATTTCATCGTGCGTCTTTTCTATTTCATCACCAGTTCTTCTTCCCCTCTTTGCATTTCGTACATATATATACGGTGGTACTGCCTGATTGCGCTTTCCTCTCACATTCGAGATCGCGTATACCACAAATTGCTTCTATTCGCGGATAATCTCAACCCTTACCTGTACCTGCATTTTTGGCATTTCATTTTTGCCCGTCCGAGGTAAAACGTTCATGTATGTGGTATTTCCCCTCAAAAGCTCTCCTTCCCCCGTTTCGCTGTTCGTTGCAATATAGCGCCAACATCGTACACTAGCCGGTGTTTCCCGTCACCAGATCAAAGAAGTCTTTCTTCATGGCAGACATAAACTTTCTTCATCGACCTAGTGGTCGTCGGGGAAAAGGCAGAAGGGCACGCGACCACTTCTAGTCGTGCGTTTCGATATGTTTCGATCGCTGATCACCGTCTTTTGGTCAAAAACTTATATCATCAACTAACAATGCACATAGTTCTCACATCAGCCTTGAGGTGCTCGGTCGTCCAAACGATGTGGACGAGTGCATCGTTCAGCCTCGTTGCTTGGTGCTGACAGGGAGGGTGATCAGGCTAAGGCCAATGCTATCTTGCTCGGTCCATTATTCACCCATTATTGGGAATCCGGGGAAAGCACATTTTGACTTCTGCCAAGACGAGAGCCGAGTCACCGTGAATCCAGTGCCCGGGTGAATCGCATTGGGTTTCGCTCCGGCGATTTAATATATCAAGATGACGGCCTACTTCCCTCTCATACCTGGCAAGACCAGTCTCTCCTATCTCACTCATCGATTCTTCTACTGGATTTGTGGTACTATTTTACTACTCATAATGTTAATCGTTGGGCTCGTCTGTGGCTTGGTGTTTGGCCTTCGAGCTCGTGCTCATGCTCATTCTAGCAATATCAGCTTGGATGTGGATCTAGGATATTCTACCTACCAAGGAGCAAATGGCGCAAGTGGTGTCAGTCAGTGGTTGGGAATCAGATATGCTGCTGCTCCAATTGGCAATCTTCGATTCAGAGCTCCGCAAGATCCTGTGACGGACAACAAAACTTATGTTGCTAATACTGTGGGTTTATTGCGTCCGTGGATCTCCATGTACTGACTTCTTTACAGCGAGGGCCTATTTGTCATTCAAGTCCATCAACAAGTCTCTCTGCAACTAATTCGGAGGATTGTCTCTTTCTGAATGTTTTTGCACCGACAACAAGCAGGGGCTCTCATCCAGTTTTCATCTACTTTCAAGGTGGTGGCTTCAACACTCTATCGGCTCCGGACCTTGACGGCACTAGTCTCATCAGCGCTGGAGATCATGATATCGTTGTAGTTACTTTCAACTATCGTGTAGGTCCTTATGGGTTTCTCGCTAGCAAGGAAGTTCAGTCAGATGGAGACTTGAATGCAGGACTGCTAGATCAAAGGAAGGCACTTGAATGGATTCAAAAATACATTCACTTGGTAAGTTCGGTGACGATGAGTAACAGACGAACGCTGACCTTTCCAAGTTCGGTGGAGACCCCACGCGCGTTACTATCGGCGGTGCTTCAGCTGGTGGTGCCTCTGTGGACTTACACATGAGTGCTTACGGCGGCCGTAACGATGGTCTCTTCCATCAAGCTGCAGCGGAAAGTCAATCATTTGGCGCCCAACTTACGGTTGAAGAGTCTCAGTACCAATACGATGCTCTCGCGAAGAGAGTCGGCTGCAACACCACGGACAGTCTCAATTGTCTTCGGAACGTCAACATTGAAACCATCGCTGACAATAATCCCAATATTCCCACACCGGGAGGAAGCGGAGGAGACCCAGTCTTCATGTACTCTCCTGTCATCGACGGAAATTTTACTCAAGACTACACGTACAACGCCTTTGCTCAGGGCAAGTTCGTCAAGATCCCCTCGATTTTCGGCGACGACACAAACGAAGGGACAATCTTCACTCCTACGGGCATCAACACCTCGGCCCAATTCCATGCTTTTCTGAAAGACAATTTTGTCAATTTGACAGCCGCGAACCTCGCTCAGATCGATAATTTCTACCCACAAGCTGGGCAGTTCCCGGGCAAAGGTGTCTTTTGGCAAACAGCAGCGAATGCATATGGCGACATGCGATATATCTGCCCTGGAATCAATATTAGCTCCATGCTTTCTTCGCATGGAGTGGACAAAAGCTGGAATTATCAGTAGGTTTCTCTCCTCTACTCTTCCTATTTTCATACTAACTGCCACAGCTGGGATGTCCTTGAGGCAGGCAACGCTGCATCTGGCCTTGGAGTAACGCATACCGCCGAATCTGGCAGTATCTGGGGCTCATCAACCGCACCAGAAAATGCCCTCATCCCCACCATCCAAGGATACTGGACTTCGTTCATCAGAACTGGGGATCCGAATACACACAAAATTTCAACTGCTCCGACCTGGGGAACATTTAGTGCTTCCAGTATGCAGAGAATACATTTTACGAACGATCCGGCGAATGTTGCTATGGAGGTTGTGCCTGCGAGTCAGCAGGCGAGGTGTCAGTATTTGAGTAGTATTGGGCCGTCGCTGCAACAGTGAGGCTGAGGTTGGATGGTGCTTCTAATGATCTAACGAATGCATGGTTTGGCGTTGTATTCTACCTCTGAGCGAAGAGCTGCATCTTTTAGCGAGCGGTCGATTGTTTGAAAGCATTGCGAGGCGTTGGTGGCACATGTGGATACCATAGAGGCGTTGTTTTGCAGCTTGTTAACGAAGATTATATTCATTCTAGTCCCGTTTGCGTTCAACGTTATATCTTGACAGAAAAGGGTGCCAGAATCTATGAACGTCCTCCGCAGTCATCTTCTACCGCACAGCTCGCCTCACTTCCGAACACTCTGACCTCTCAATCTCTCGGCCTTGCTTCCCGACGTAAAAATGGCGTGTACCCCGGTGCGGGCGTTCCATCATCTTCCCAAAAATAACGATCTCCCGCTCTCTGATTATAAGTCGGCGGAGGCGTCGCTACCGTCTCCTCAACTCCCCTTTCCGCGGCTGACATGAATTGATCCGATATTGGTGTATTCTCGTATTGAGGAGGATTGCGTCTTGGTTCCACTTCAACTCCTTGTGACCTAACGACAGCCTCGCCAGATCTGCGTAGCCGTTGAGGTGTGTTGGGGTCTGAAGCTGGTGGTTGTACGCCGACAGGAGGTACGTTGCTGAGTTCTGGGTTCGATTTTGCGATGGACCGGACGCGGCTGAGACCTCTTTTGAATCTGCCCATTTCAACATCTCGAGATCTCGATCGTCGTCCAGATTTCTGTCTATTCCACCAGCTGGATAACTTTGATTTGAGAGTTGGTTGGGGCTGTGAACGGACTCTGTGGGAATTACGAGCCTGCTCTCGAAGTCGCCTCTTTTGTATGCTAGCCTTCGCGATAGAAGATATGACGGCAATGATTGCTGCAAGGCCAATAAATGCACCCACGAATATTATGACCATAGTGATTGGATCAGGACCATGATCCGGACGGGGATCGTAGGCGGGTGTTGTTGAAGCTGATGGAGCAGAAGAGTATGCTGTGGTAGATGTTGGTTTGGGGCAATTCTTGTGAGGGTGAAATATCTTGTCCCAATTGCTGCACCATTCAGGACTGGCGGCAGGCTGAACGTCTCTAGGGAAATACATGATATTGATGTTTCTGGATAATGTGGAAAGACAATACGGTTTAGCTGCAGAAGTCCCAGGTATATAACGGACGTCAAACATCATAATGTTCAAACTCTCTCCGTCATCGCTCTGATGGAAAGAAACTAAAAGTGTTCTAGAAAATTGTCGAGAGGAGACAAGTGTGTTTAGAGAAGGATAGAGGGAGGTAGCCTCATCAGCCAAGAACCGTAGCCTTCTATCGATGGGAAATACTTGATCTGATTGGAGGTCTAAGTGGGTTCAGCCTTGCCGGACATTTGGGGTACCAGTGTTGAGGCTGAATCATGACGGAGTGTGGGGTCACATGATGACGTTAGCTCCCTTAACTGCAGGTGTATGAGATCTGCTGTACGAAAGACAGCGAATATCATGTCGCCGAGGAGAACTCGTTGAAATCTAGAATACTTGTGGTAATCTAGTAAATAGGAAATGAAGATCGTAGGAGCTCCATGGCAGTGATGAAACGAGCGCGGAACTGGAACGCAAGTGCAAACAATATATATTAATCACTCTATATGAGAAAGAAGAAGTAAAAGGCAAGTACGGAATAGGATTGAATGACTGATCCACACCGTGTATGTATTCCGAGGTAGTACTTTGCAGCCATTTTTGGATGCCAGAAGAACACTTGCTGCTGGAGAGTGAAAAGAGATGCAAAGCGGCAACCCGCTCGTCGTGAAGATAGAAATCAACAATACCACATGAAAGAGGGTCTTGCAAAGCTCAAAGCATCGAGTTCAAGTAGACAATAAAGCGTGCAAATCGATTTGAGCCATCCTCAACATCAGGGCAGAGACAGAAGCACCCGTCAGGTAGAGAGTGATTGACATAACTCCTACCTACGGCTTCGAATACATTATTGGCTGCGAGCCAAATTCCATGCTGCTGAACTACAGTGTCCTTCTTGATGGTTGATCTGACGAGCTGATGAAGCACATGTCGCTAGGTATATCCTCTTGATGTCTCAATGCCCTTCCCATAGGCTCTGGCATCAGCAAACGTGGCTTCGCAGCCGTCTCCCATGATCTCCGTCTATGAACTCCTGCCCATGCAGAATACCATTGCCCCAAGCAAGACACTCTATCTTGTATCAATACCCATCCTTCCAGATCTCCTTCCTATACCCCTCCGTCAGCCTCGGATCCTCACCAAATCTCTCCTGCCAGCCCACAAATCCCCTATCCAACACATAAACCTTCTGTTCCTTCTTCTCTTCCTCAACATCCTCCCACTCAGCATCCCTATCCTCTCCCTCTTGTGCCTCGTCTTCCCTATTCTTTTTCAGCACCTGCCCAACCCCACTCCCGCTCTCGATATGTGCTCCCAATCCCATCGATCGTTCTCTTTCGCGGATGTACCGCAGAGCCGCAGAAGGTCCACGTTGCTGGGATAATGCGCAGTGGAATACGACGGTCTCCTTGTCTTTGAGCTTGCGGACGAGTTCGGGGATCTTGTGGTCGAGGGTGTGGGATGGGGCGTGGATGGAGTGCTTGATGTGGCCTCCTATGTGATCTGCTGGAGGTCAGCTTCTGTTATGGTTGAGGAGGGAGAGGGTGATTCACCGTCGTCTCGGACGTCTATTATTGCTATCTTCGAGGGAGGGGTCGAGGCATCGAGATTCGAGGAGGAATTCGACAAGAGGATTTCGGACAGGGTGGTAGAGGAGAGGCGGGGTAGATTGGCTACTGTATGCATCGACATTTTGCGCATCTGCTGGGGTACTGGGGTCGAGGATAATTGTGATGTTGAGGTTGTGGTTGTGGTGGGAGAAGAGGATGTTTATTTTGCTTTTTGGCGGGGTCGATGTCGCGAGCTCATCCCAAATTTTCTTCCTTGCAACAGCATCTATCAACACCTACTTGGGTATCGAGCACATACAACATCTGTAGCAATCCAGGCAATAATCATACCCCAAGTTCACGAAACGAGCTGCCGCAGCCAGTGCTGCGCGGTTTTCACGTCCCAGAAATCAAGGGCTATCGGTGCAACACAGAATGTCAAAGAATCATCAGTTGAAAAATTTCTACGGCATTGCATCAATAACCACTACCTGGCATTTTAGTTTGATTTTAGTTAACTACAATGATAGCTCTCATTCAAGCAGATTTCTACTTTCTCTAGTGCGTGCCCAATGATGGAGGCGCCGGTCATCTTCTTCCCTTCCTCCAAGTTCTCCTCGATGCACCTATTGCCTTTGCATGCCTTACTGTAGCATTGACCAGCATATTTGCAACTTACTACAGTACCCTCCGTCAGTCATCCTAGCTTTCAAAGATCGAAGAGAACAAGCTTACTTCTCAACTCTACACATCTTCCTTCGGCTGATGACTCTGCAACCCATCTTTGCCAAGCGGCTTCTGCTTCGTAACCCACTGCTCCATCTGCGCAGTCCTCACCCCAGCCGACTTCTCCTGCTTCGTGGCTTTCGGTCTGATTTTGTACGGAGCTTGCTTCTTTTTAAGACCTAGACGACCTTCAAGTTTCGGCTTGCAGACTCTGCCGCTACAATTCTTGGAACAGCATCCTGAGTCTTTTACACACAAGACTATGTCGCGTTCGTTAGCAAGTGCTCGTCGTGTGCATGGCTTTGAGTTTCTTACGTCCGTTTGCGAGGCATGATCCCGCAGCGGGAGGATCGATGTTCGTGATAGAGGGGAAGTCTTTGTGATGGATGCTTTTCCGGGGCGAGTCGTGGATGGGGTGGAGTACGATTGAAAGTACGAAGCCAAGGAGGCTTGCGATGAGAAGGGCGCGGCTGAAGATGTACATCTAAGAAGCTTCTGTTGGGTGTGAGGTACTGCAGATGATTCACGGTCGAGGAGTCGATGCGCAGAGATGATGTATATACCCGGATCTCTAGGAATGTACACAGTTGTTGTCCGGAATGCGGAGCAGCTTTTCAGCCCAAAGTTTCATCCCTTAGTCTATCAGTTTTGCCAATCAAAATCGCTGTCGAGAGTCAAGATGCTTCATTGTTCAACAAATCTTCCCAGGTATTGCCCCTACTTGACGTCTTAACCGATTTTCCTGGCATAGCTTGGGATGATGTTTTCCAACAAGACATTCATGCACTTTATCATCCTCAATCTCTGCCTGATTAGATTTCGCCCGGAATTTGGCCCACCCTATCTTGATCCTGTCTGAGAGCTTTACATGGACTTCTCCAGTCTCCTCTACATCCGCTATTCGCGCGGATGTCATTGTTGCTTCTGTTTTTGGCGTCCACCGTATTGAGGAGACGGCCTTCAACTGGCGAACATCGTGAATCCTGATCGGTATTTTGTTTCTGATCCATCTCCTCTTATCGTACCCAGCTCCAGTGAGGTCCGCCGTAAGTTCGCTCGTGTATATTGGATCTGGGCCACGTCGAGCAGAATCCAAGATACGCTGGAGATGTCCTTCAAGCAATTCTTCTTTCAAGTTTTCTTGCCTCTGAAGAATGACTGCGAATCTTCCTCGAGCATGGAGCTCTTCTTGGATCTCTTTCAAGTACCACTGCTGATATCGCTCAGTTGAGGAGGCGCGATCTCGCTTCCTTGGGCGATCATCAGATCGTCGTTGTGGTCGACCACGTCGCGCCTCGGTACTATCCAGCCAAGACTCGCTGCTTCTAGTTGGACAGGAATATGATTTAGATCTTCTCTGTCGCGTGCGAGGACGACCTCGCAGGTGCTGGTCTGTCTGTGATATATTTGCTGGATCAATCTCTTGGCCGGATTTGCAAAGCCGATGGTCACCGACTCTCGATTTGCCCTTCGAGTCCTCCTTAGAAGTGGTGGAGACACCAGAGACCCCACTATCTGGGCTTCGATTCGAAGTGCGTCGCTGGAGATGGCTCTCCAGACATTCATTCAATGACATCGGTCTTGGCAGGATCAATCGCGGCTCCAATATCTGTTCGGCAGTAGCCCAGAGCTGCTCTCCGGATGTTTCCAACAATGCTGGCATGGGTCTATGGAAGCTGGGCGATACGATGTGAGCTTCATTTTTACCAAGCGTACGGGATACGGAAACTCGTCGGATGGTTTGTGGTGAAGACATGATGTCCTTGGTTCCTTCACGGACAGATCTAGAAGCCCTATGGGACACTGGACCCGGTCTCATTCCTCGCTGAGGAGGTTGTTGAATGTCATTCAAGCTTCCAGGAACTCCATCGTCTGTGCGAAGAGCGCGAATTCGTCGATGTGATGGTCCAGAACTACTTCCTTCGCCTCCATTACGTTGAGAGCGAGATGCTGCTGCTCTTAAAGTCTTCCGTCTTTGGAGATCGGCGTCCAGATACTGAGTCAGCGTCTGTTGCGGAGAGTCGACGATAGAATAGGGATCGAGTCGAGAGGGTTTTGTCAGTCGTCCATCGGCCGTGAGGGACATGTCAGGTTGGTCGAAAGGGTTGAATACTCGGGGATCAAAGTCGCAGTCCGCATCGAGATCATTGGAAGGAAGGCCCGTAGCGGGTTGTTTGCCTTTGCTCTTTTCGCTGCGTCTGAGCGAGCCTAGACGGCTGGGAAGATGAACGCCAGGCATGTTGTAGAGCGAAGAGAGGCTTTTGGACTGTGGTGCTGTGGTGCTGTCTGGTCTTTCCGAGTCTTGCTCTTTCGAATGGCGAAGAGGGTTCAAACGCTATGTTGTGAATAACGAGAGTCAAGTATGTGTGTTTCAGCAAGTATGGTTTCCAACGAGTGTGATGTGCGGTGAATGTGTGAATGTGTATTACGTTTTTGTTTACAGCATAAGAAGACAGAACCCGGAGTGAGTCTGAGACAATCAGAAATCAAGCCAAATTTCAGAGGTTATGAAAGTCCATTTCGATTCTGACTGCAACTGCCCTACAATCAAACCCTACAGACTAGATACCTGTCATGTCCGTAGTGTCTGATCGGTCCCAGATAATCAAGAGGTGCTCTTACCCTTTTTGGTCAAGCAGAACACACGACGAATGACTCAAGAGAATTCTGGAAAAATCGTTGCATCATTAGTTATGTCATCTACTTCTCTCCAAATGTGTATCCCCAAATTCATCGACGGAAGATTGAATCTCCCAAACGCGTTCATTGTCAGGACTGGACATGAGAGATAGAGACCTGGAACCTTGAAACGACGACGAATTTTCTTTGTGGCCATTTAATCCGTTGTGCTTGGTGCCCTGACTGAGAAATTTGCAATCTCGAAAATCATACTAGTATATCTAGAAACTGACATAGGGCTGAGTCCACAAACTGTAAAATCTCGGGCTGGTAGCGAGAAATCTAATCACGGGACTATCACGGGACTATCACGGGACCTTCATCACATGACAGGGCATGTGATATCCAGTCTCCACCTCTCAATGGGCCCACTTCAACATCTAGACTCCTTCATCGTGAAGTGCAAAAGTGGAAATGATTAAGTTCACGACCCCAGCTCGGCTACACGTGGAAAGTGAAAGTCTCTCGGGGGGATTCGGAGCCTGCGAGATCCACTTCTCACCTTCGATTTTTCCCACGGGGTCCCTCGGTCCGTTAGGGAGGTGATGTTTAACACTAAAGTATCGTGAAATTGCCTCACTTTGCACGTTCCTGGGAGTGAGTGATGGAGAAAGAAAGGAAAAAGGGGCCCTGCAGGAGGGGTGGAAGAGAGTGAATGACGACCCGTTTAGGCCTGAGCGACATATCCAGGGCGAACAGATGACCGGTAGAGATGTCCTTCACGCATCTTTCGTTTTGGGCTTTTTGCATGTGAGGAAAAAGGTGAGGATGTACTGTACTGTACCTGTACATGATTCTTACAGGTTCCCGCAGTACGCGTCTGAATAAATGAAAAATGGCGCAAGACTGTTCACCATTCACCCATCGGAGCAGGGAATTGAGGCTGTGTTGTCGAATGTGATAGAAGGACAGAGAGAGGTCCATGTATCGTTACAAAGAGTGGATCTCGACGGCGACCAGCAAATAAGACGTGGCAGCGTGGAAAAGTCTTTTGCAGTCTCTTGCGTGCGTTTCGGCAGTATTATTTTTTGGATGCTTCACGATATCTTTGAGTCCATTCTAGATTGCGGCGGGTGGAGGGTAAACGGGCCAACGTCGGCTTGTGATTGATCGAAAGGTTTTAAGGGGAGGCGAGAAGGCGAGGAACAGGATGGATCAACAGGAACAAATAAGACCGAGGTGGGTAAATGAGAATCGCCATACTTTTCTTCAGACTCCGTACGTCCAGTAGACGACGCTGTTGAGATAACGAATCGATTATTCGGTGGCTTCTCCGAGTCAGTAGCAGCAGCATAGCGAGACCCAGGGTAACTTTATTCGAGGGAGAAAGAAACGAAGCATGATCACGAAAACGACCAAGTAAGTGCGGCATACGAACTGCGTCTTTTCTGGCCCTCGTTCTCATCGATGATACTGTACTGGACGCCCAAATTGTCGTGAATCGTAGTCTCGATTTTGTGCTTATGATTCGGTCATTACCCCTCCATGCATTATGCCCCTCCATCATCATCATCACTCTCTCAGTCTTCCTTCTCCCTCTTTCTGATCCTCACCCCGCGCTCACTCTCTCATTTCTGCATCCTTCGATGAAGCAAATTGACCTCACCTCACATACGCTCAAACCATTCTCGGCTCTGTGTTCCCCTCAGGCCCGCCGATCGCATTCCTTGCGCGCTGGGCAATAGCACCATTGCGATTGCTCGCATTTCTTGGTACGAAACTGCGATACGGCAACTTTGCGTCATGGGCGTTAGTAGCTTCACATATAGACCGCATCCCATGCCGAGACCAGCAAATCAATGATGATTTGCACCCAATGCAAAAGCCCCCCGGCAACAAACATCTGCCCACTCACAGATGGATGAAATGTCTCCCCGCATTGCCTGCGACGGGGCTTGGGATCATGCAGATGCAGTTAGACAGACCGGTTAGTAGTGAGGAGCACAGGAGCACTTCCCCCCTCCCTAGACCAAGACAAGATAGACCCAGCAAGGTTCGCGGCAGGCCGAATGAAACCATAGACTGCACCGACGTAGTTCTCCAGCCTTGCTTGTTTGTACGCTGACTCCTCGCTCCATGCTCGTGAGCCTTCATATCCTCGCTTCACTGACGCCCACTCCCTGCACTGGAGTATAAGTACTAAGCCCGGCGCCTCTTCCTCACTCTTGTTTCCCCTCAACGGTTGTGTGCTTTGCCTCAAACCGTATTACAGTTGCTTCCAGAAAGATATCAGTCCACCTCTTCGATCTCTCCACTTTACGCATACTCTGCCTCGTGTAAATAGCTTCAGCCTTCCTCCCACCAACCAACCACACGCCATCACCATGAAGGCTGTACATTTCGGTGCCGGTAATATTGGCAGAGGATTCGTTGCTGAATTGTGAGTATTCTACCCCTCATCGGCGATTTGTTGCTGTTTCGTGAGTGTTATCAGACGTCAGACTAATCCCCCACTAGCCTCCACAACTCAGGATATGAGGTCGTCTTCTGCGATGTCATGGACAGCGTGATTGACCAACTCAACGCCTCAAAGTCATATAAAGTCATCCAAGTCGGAGCAGAAGGAACCAGCGAAACCACGATCACCAACTACCGAGCCATCAACTCGAAACATAACGAAGCACAAGTGATCGACGAGATCACAACGGCTGACATCGTAACCTGCTCCGTTGGCCCCAACATCCTCAAATTCATTGCTCCAGTTATCGCCAAAGGAGTCGATGCTCGACCAAACGATGCCACACCGATAGCTGTCATTGCCTGCGAAAATGCAATCGGCGCAACCGACACTCTCGCAGAGCACATCAAACACCCCAAACACACTCCCGAACACCGCCTTGACGACCACCACGAGCGAGCACGGTATGCGAATTCAGCCATTGATCGTATCGTGCCAGCACAAGACCCCAATGCAGGCTTGGATGTCAAGCTCGAGAAGTTCTACGAGTGGGTTGTCGATCGATCACCATTCCACGACCACGAACCACCAGCGATCAAGGGAGTGAAGTGGGTTGACGATCTGATCCCATACATCGAGCGAAAACTGTTCACTGTCAATACCGGCCATGCTGCAGCCGCATACCACGGATACTACCACAAGAAGACCACCGTCTACGACGCTCTACAAGAGCCAATGATCGTCGATGAGGTCCGGAAGGCACTCGCCGAGACCAGCACCTTGATCGTCGGGAAGCATGGCATCGAGACAGAAGAACAAAAGGCATACGTGGAGAAGATCATCAAGCGCATTGGCAACCCTCATCTCGAGGATGCTGTCGAACGTGTTGGTCGTGCGCCATTGAGAAAGCTGAGTCGCAAGGAACGCTTCATTGGCCCCGCTGCCGAACTCGCTGAGGAGGGCAAACCCTTCGATGCGTTACTTGACGCTGCAGAGATGGCATTCCGATTCCAGAATGTGGAGGGAGACGAGGAGAGTGCGGAATTGGCAAAGATCATGGCTGGCACTTCGCCAGAACAGGTCGTAGAAAAGGTTTGTGGGTTGACTTCATCAGACAAACTCTTCCCTCACGTCGTTGAGGTTGTGAAGAGAGTGCAGGCCGATGCATAGAGAAGATGGTTTTGATTTGTATGATTTTATGGCGAAATGGGTGGTCTGGAAAGCAAGCGGGGTGTTTCTGTGAAAATATCCTGCATCATAGCGGTCAGGTTCTGTAGCTATTTGTACCTTAGATCACCAGCATAGCCTCGGATGGCAGCTTAAAGGTCAAATGAAAGAAATAACAATATACTTTGCAAATCTCTCAGTGAATTGGAATGACTGGAGAGTGCGAGAATATTATATGACCAAAGCCTTGTTCGCGCTAGTCCTTTTTGAGAATACCCGAACGCACCTTCATCGAGCTGTTGAAAGACCACGATATCGAAATCGCAGGGCAGACAACGCAACAACTTTGGCCGCCCACGATTCATCTGCGAAGCTCTGCAAAGATACAACAACAATTGATACTGCTATATCCTCGCGCTCCACATCCTCGCTGGATCACAACAGTACATTCCTCGCGAGCGGCCACGGTCGCCGGAAAGAAAGCCACAGGTTTCTTCTTCCTCCCTTACCGCATCCACATTCGGCGTAGTGTTTGGACAAAATGCGATTAGACGTGAAGGTTCGTGGGCATTTCTTTTGCTAGAAGCTGGCCATCATGCTGGATCCCCTGGTAGACAGCCTGGATATGGCATCAACCCCATCTGTCCCTACCCATTCCAAGAACAAGAGCCTGGATCTGCGCGAGACGGTTTTGGTGGGCAAGATGACACCCAACTCGACTAACTCGGTGTACCAAATACAGAGACAGTTGTTTGCGAGGAGCGAGAGAGTCAAGGGCATCGATTTCCACCCAGTTGAGCCATGGATCTTGACCACCCTTTACAGTGGTATGTACAACACACACGAGCTCGAGTCCGTTGTTAACGATATTAAACAGGACATGTTTATATCTGGTCCTACGAGACTCAGGTACATCCTCGCTAGCTACTTCTCCACACCGCATGCGCTGACAACAATAGGCCATAGTCAAAACCTTCGAGTTGACAGATGTCCCTGTTCGAGCGGGCAGATTCGTTGCGAGAAAGAATTGGATTGTTTGCGGTTCCGATGACTTCCAATTGCGAGTATACAACTACAATACCTCTGAAAAGATTACCTCTTTCGAAGCACATCCAGATTATATTCGAGCGATCGTCGTACACCCCACACAACCCTTCGTTCTGACCGCCTCGGATGACATGACCATCAAGTTGTGGGATTGGGACAAAGGATGGAAATGTGTCCAGGTTTTCGAAGGCCACAGCCATTATGTTATGGGACTGGCCATAAATCCCAAAGACACCAATACATTTGCTTCTGCTTGTTTAGACAGAACTGTCAAGATCTGGAGTTTGGGTTCCTCAACAGCGAATTTCACTCTCGAAGCACACGAAACGAAGGGCGTAAACCACGTCGACTACTACCCACAATCCGATAAGCCATACCTCCTTACCACCTCCGATGACAGAACGGTCAAGGTCTGGGATTACACCACCAAGTCCTTGATTGCGATACTGGAAGGACACACAAGTAATGTTTCTTTCGCATGCTATCACCCAGAACTGCCTGTGATCATCTCTGGTTCCGAGGATGGCACCGTCAAGATCTGGCATGCGAATACATACAGACTTGAACAATCGCTGAACTATGGCCTGGAAAGAGCATGGTGTGTTAGCTACCAACGAGGCAAGCAAGGTGTGGCGGTCGGATTCGATGAAGGAGCCGTGGTTGTGAAGATGGGTCGAGAAGAACCAGCAGTGTCGATGGACGGATCTGGAAAGCTGATCTGGGCACGACACAGCGAGGTTGTCTCCTCGATAATAAAAGGTGGTGGTAAGTTTTGGAGTCAAACTGGAGTGGACGAAATCTAATTACGCACAGATGCTTCCCTGAAAGACAACGATCCCATCTCCCTCCCAACAAAAGACCTCGGTACCTGCGAAGTATATCCACAAACTCTCCTCCATTCTCCAAACGGCCGATTTGTGTCTGTTTGCGGTGATGGTGAGTTCATCATCTATACAGCTCTGGCTTGGAGAAATAAGGCTTTTGGTTCTGCTCTGGATTTCGTCTGGGGTTCGAAGGAAAACAGCAATGATTACGCCATTCGAGAATCAACCACAAGCGTCAAGATCTTCAAGAACTTTGTGGAGAAGGCTGGAGGACTTGATGTGGGGTTTCAAGCTGAAGGTCTTACTGGTGGTGTTTTGCTCGGCGTTAAGGGGCAAGGCGGCGTCGGCTTTTTCGATTGGCAGACAGGCGGTTTGGTCCGAAGGATCGAAGTAGACCCGAAAGAGGTTTATTTACTCATCACCTCAAATGTTTTTTTTACTAACAGGTACAGGTCTACTGGTCTGAGAACGGAGAACTAGTCTCGATTGCTTGCGAAGATACATTCTACGTTCTCCGATTTTCTCGCGAGAACTATGTTGCTGCAGTTCAAGCTGGAGAAGTTGAGGATGACGGAGTCGAAGCAGCCTTTGAAGTTGTTACTGACATCAATGAGAGGTATTTTCCCTCCCCCGATTTCAATCATCAGGTGCTAACAGATTCAGCGTCCGAACTGGTGAATGGGTTGGTGACTGCTTCATCTACACCAACAGCACAAACCGTCTTAACTACTTAGTCGGAGACCAAACATACACCATTTCACATTTCGATCAGCCCATGTATCTACTTGGTTATATTCAACGAGACTCGAGGATATACCTGGCTGATAAGGATGTCAATGTCACTTCATTCGCCCTTTCTCTTTCTGTTGTCGAGTATCAGACACTTGTCCTGCGAGATGACATGGAGTCAGCCGCTGAGCTCCTGCCCTCAATACCTTCAGACCAGCTGAACAAGATTGCGCGGTTCCTTGAAGGTCAAGGCCATAAAGATCTTGCTCTCGAGGTTGCCACGGATCCCGAACACAAGTTCGAACTTGCACTCGCCCTTGGTCACCTCCCAATTGCGCTGGAGCTCGCTCGAGAGGCCGATGTAGAGCACAAGTGGAAGACTGTTGGCGATGCTGCTCTCGCTGGCTGGGACATTGCACTGGCAGCGAAATGTTTCAAGAGCGCTAAGGATCTTGGCTCATTACTTCTGCTACACTCTTCGACTGGCGATCGAGATGGTCTAAAAGCCTTGAGTGAGCAGGCACAGGAAGCTGGAGCTCACAATGTTGCATTCTCATGTCTCTGGCAGCTGGCTGATGTAGATGGTTGCATCGATCTTTTGACAAAGACCGGCAGGACTGCAGAAGCTGTTCTTTTCGCCCAAACTTACAAGCCAAGTGTTGCTGTCAAAACCGTTGGTCTGTGGAAGCAAAGCTTGGAGAAGGAGAAAAAAGGTCGTGTCGCGAAGACGATTGGTGTTCCTGGAGAAGATGACGAGCTGTTCCCTGAATGGGAAGACTATCTGCGATTAGCAGGCGAAGGTGTGAAGCTCATTGACGTGAATGGTGAATCCGAGGAGCCTGTCAATGGCGATGCGGCGGAAGCAGAAGAAGAAGAAGAAGAGGTTGAGGTTGAGGAGTGAGGTAATTGTCGATAGATAGTTCTGTGCATTCGTCTTTGGACTGGGGGCACTTGGGAGACGGATGGGAAAAGAAATTATGGCGCAAATAGCTACATATGAAACCAACGAGATGTTCTTCCCAAGATTGAGTTGTGTTCTTTGCTATTCGTGTTTGCATCTAAAGACTCGAGGCTCATCGGCAAGTGTCTGCGAATCTTGAAGTAACATTACACACTGACTTTAAACATATCTCTGGGGTGAGAGTACACGTTGATCTCCCAATCCATCCCTCGACCAATATTGCCATAAACAATTGGTCCTCCCCTGCAGAGGTGTTTACTTTATTTCAAACCCGATTAAGCCCCACAATCAGAGGCACTGAGATAATATGATCAGCATATACGTTCAGACTTCACCGGATCCCACTCACACATTCCCCACCAAGTAAACCTCCACATCAACAAACGTCTCATTCCTCGGCACCACACTCGCCACCAGAAACCCATTATTAAACTCCTGATACCTCGTCCCATTAATCTTCATCTCCTGTCACTCTCTTAGCATCAAATACCTATCTCAAAGTCGACGATTGGGAAGGAATACAATCCTAGTAACTTGACAAGCGCGCGACCCGGTTCCCATTTCGGAGACGTAGAAAGTTTGATTATCGTCTGTGAGCCCGTAGAGGGTGATGGATGGGTTGTCGATTGTTGTGTTGGTGAGGGATGTTGGGTAGGCGAAGCCGGAGAGGATGGTGCCGTTTATGGTTCCGTTTACTGTTCCGCCGGTGATAGGTTCTATGACGAGTGTTCCGCCTGGTACATTGATGCTTGGTAGTGCTGGAGCAATGGTGATTTGAACGGAGAAAACGTGCTGGAAGGTGAAAGGTAGGTTATGAGCAAAAATCAGAGTCGACAGCGTCGTGAGGGTGAGAAGTGGGATTGAGAAACGCATGATTGCTGCAAGCGGGATTGAGATGAGGAGTCGATTCTGGTGAAAGTAAAGAAGTAATCTGAGGTTGTGGGTTGAATGTGTTTATCAACAGAATTTCCATTGCACTATTGTCCCTCAATTTATACTTGCATCTAGAATGCGGAAACTTGACTAGAGACAGTTGACGGTTGGTATTTAGCGTCAGTCAAAGGACGCAAGGCGCAGAACAAGGTTTGTGTCTTTTCAATTAATGAGGCTGAGTATGTAAAGTTCCGATGAAGCCATCACAATCAGAATAAACCTGATCCAGCCGACCATCTCAAGTCATCTTTGAGCCTTGTCTATGGAAGCGAGATATCCCCTTATTGTTGATTAGCGACCGCTCGCTAAAATACGCCATTCCCTTTCAGGTGTTCATCATGCGAGCTGCATGAGATCTACATCAAAGAATCCCTCGCACTTGTGACGTCGAGCTATAAGCGGAAACCAATTATACCTTCTTCGAACATACATTAACGCCACTTATTCCTGATACTTTAAGGTGATGCCGCATTTGGAGTTCATCTTTCGAAAGCGAAAATGTCAAGACTCGATCAAGGCATCTGCATCGGCCGTCTGACCCGTACTACTCCAAAAGCTATCTGAGCGATTATGGTGGGAGTTCCAGGTAAATCAAAAGGATGCCATACGTGCAGGCGGCGCAGGGTCAAGGTCAGAATCCTATTCTTCAAATGAATTGGTTCGTGCTGACCGACACCAGTGTGATCTTGGACAGCCAAATTGTGCTCGATGTACCAAGATCGGAAAGGTCTGTGAAGGATATGAACGAGGTTTAGTTTTCTTGAATCGGACAGCAACTGGACTGGAGAAACGAAAGGGGTTGGAGGAGGCACTCCCTCGCAAATCTTCTGAGTCAACAATTCTTGGCAACAACATTGAAGGGATAGCTGATGGAAGCTGCTTGGCGGACATGAATGTAGAAGCTCAGCGAGTGCCTCCTCAAATCGATGGCAAGATTCTAATTGTGAAGAGATACGAGAGTCTCTTTTTAGAGGATTTCTTGCCATCAGATCCAAGACGCGGCGGTAATATACTAGGTCTCTGGCTGTTGGAATCTGTTTGTGCTGTCAAACCTAACCGAGCTTTGGATTGTGCCAATGAAGCATTGTTTCTTACGAGGGTAGGTAGAATGAATGGTGACAGTTCAACCGCTACTCAAGGAAGATTGAGATATGGACAAGCACTCCGAGAAGTTCAGCGAGCTTTGTTGGATAAGATTGAAGCTTTGAGGGACGAGACACTGGCCGCTTGCCAAGCATTGTCTTTGTATGAGGTAAGCATCATTGAAAGAAATTGAAGACGTAGCTGATCAACATAAAGACTTTGGAATCATCTGGTTCGGCTGTACGAGGTCAAAAAAATCATTTGCAGGGCATTGTGAAACTCCTCAAGCACCGACAATCAATCAAGTCTCAGAGTGCCCTCTCTGTAGCTCTCACAGACTACTTCTACTATACGACAGTATACCTCTCGTTTCCTACATAATCAAGTACATCAAGCTAACATAACACATAGATGGTTCTCTGCATACAGCAGCGGTCACTAGCTGCGTTTGGAAATCTTGGCGGAAAAGCTTCTATATGGCCCTACGGCAACACCATCGAACAAAAGCTTTACGATAAAGGTTTCCTTTTGGCTGCAACCTTCGAGGCTATTGATAGGACCTTAGACACTGAAACAATTAGTGAGAGGGGTCCTAGAATCACTGCGCTTGTCGACCGGTGCCAGAAATTAGACCAAGAGCTTGACATCTGGTACGCAGAATTATTAGAAGCAGCAAAATCGAAACATACTTGGCAGGCCTTTCTACCTCAGCTACAAAACCAAACTCAGGAGCCCATAGCATTTCCCGATCTTCGTCTTGCGCATATCTTGCTCTGCTTCTGGGCTTTGAGAATGGTCTTGACTTTGACGCTGGTCTCATTGCACAAAATGCGCTTCGAAGCACAAGACAAAACACAGGACCATAATATAGACACAGGTTCGCAACAGACGACATCAGACTCTATGGAAAGAGAATCTCGTGGAGGTTACCAGACCCAACAGGGACCACCGGTGAAGGAAATGTTTGGTAAAGCAACTTATTATGCCGATCTCATCGTGCGAGGCCTTCCTTATGTCACACGTGAGGAAATGGGGATAGCCAGCTGGTTAAGATCCATATTCGGTCTCCGAGGTGCGCTTGGAGTTTTTCGTTTCACTCGGAATTTGGAGAAGGTGAGGTATTGTGAGGAAGTGGTCGCAATGCTCACAACAGAGAGGGGAATCAGCTTTGCAGCAGATATTGCGCGACAATCAGCAAGGTGGGGAGATACGAAGGAGCGGTATCCATGAAGGTATTATGTGGTAATAGATCTACCTCACTACTTGAACACGTATTCAACATTTCTTTGTCATGGAAAGGATAATATTTCCTGCGCCAGATGGATAAGAATGGGACAGCTTTTTAGATTGGCCCTTCTCTGTACTCGCTCTCAAAAGCGATGGTACTCTAGGCTTACCATTATGTGTATGATACCCATTATTTCATATCTACATAGAATTGTAAGAATGTTATTATGATAATGTAAGATGATGTCTTTGGGAAGACGCACAGTTGACGGATGGGCACACCAAAACCAATGAAGAAGAAGAGCTTTAAATGTCGATGTCGATCTTATGCTTCGACACCCGTTGCTGAGTCCCAATTGGCCATGAATAGACCATTGCGAGCAAGAACAAACTTTGGCAATTTTAAACTCCAACGGTCGCTAAACCTAATCAGAATCATCACCGTTGAAACAAGCCTTTTGGACAGGGGCTAATTCTTAATTGGCGGCTTGGTGCTGGGCAGTGGGACAGGTACTAGTCCCAATTCATACCTCAACTTTCGAGGCTAGCAAGATCGGGAATGACAATCCAGTAAACTCGATATAGATCACTGTCGATCTGCATCACGAAGCATACGAGCTGAAGGTAGCAAATCTTGAACGTCATCGTCGCCAGATGGGAGGCCAACTGGCAGTCGAGCAGTACTTTCTGATTTAAATATTAAAGAGTATTCCAGCGTCATGTCGCAAAGAAGTCATTTCTTTTGGACAGAAGTCTCCTTTCAGTTTTCCTCACCTAGTCTTTCGATATCATAATAGTCTTCTTTCGAACATGGGACCATTAACAAGAGGTGTGCAGACGGGCATTGGACTTGTCGCCGAGCTGAAAGCAGCACGTCAGGCGCGCAAGGAAGGTGAAACGGGTGTCATTGATGTCACAACGGGTAAGTGCCTTGTTCTTGACATGCCACAATTAGTATTTACTTATTCTTAATATGATAGAAGTCGAAGAAATGCTCATCGAAGAGAAAGACGACGATGACCATGATACGGAAGACGACGAGAACTTCGGTGGTGGTATAAGTAACGGTGCATCGGATCAATCACTTTACCCTCCACCATACGGAGACAACGATTTGTCTGCCACCAGCGATATAGAATACCCTCAGCCATCTAATTCTAGCCACGAACCTCACAAACTCAGCTGCCCTGTCATCATCCCGCAGCGTAGACCTGGTACAAAAACGCGAGGCTTCTTGGAAGCATATGCTCCTGTCCTAGCAGATTGTAATATTGGCGAAGGAACCTTCTTGACATTTTTGAGGTCTTTCCATAAATCAAGTCAGGTTAGTAGACTCAGGCTCCACATGTTCCTGTTTCCTATGACTGCGAATGGCTTTCGCATACAAGCTGCGCAGTAACACATGTCACAGGCATCACCGGTTTTCAATGTCATCACCATGGGAGCTGGAGCAATAAGTCGGATTCATGAACCCCATATGAAAGCTCTATCAATGGCGATCTCTGTGTTGAGTGGTACAGCGGCAGATATCCAATCACGATATCGGTAAGTCCAATCTGTGCTAAAACCGAATGTCGTGCTCCAAAGGCTTACCTATGGTTTGTCTTAAGTACCAATAAGTTCCTCGACCAAGCCAACGACTTACTCTTCAAGCCACGTGGTCTATACTGTCTCGTTATGTCCCTACGCCCCGACGACGTCCCAAAAGATAATGTAAGCGTCCAATCGGTAGACACCTCTTCCATCGTCTTGAAATGGCTCGATCCAGACAGCAGACATTTCGCAGCGACACTGCGGACTTCGAGCGGCACCACACATGGAGGTGAGGAAATGCCCGAGACAGCACCTCTGATATACCCCAATACAGGTTATGCGGAGCTAGTCAAGACCAACTCGAACTCCAGTAGTAATAGTCAAAAGATCATAGGCGAGGTTACCAGTTATCAAAAGGTTGTCGAGAATTACTTTGACAAGCGAGCTCAGGCGAAATACGTAAGCATGTCCTTAGTCCTCCAAGAAAGAAGATGTATAATGATGTTAATGATTGTCTTCTCTCAAGGCGTACGAATATCCGGATTCCTCCCTTGCCATGCAAGAAAAGCCCCAGTTCGCCTCCAAATACGGTGACCCGACGGATCCTTCAGTTACTACGAATTACTATGGCCGTATCGCTTGCAAGATCGAGAAAGAAAGTTTGGCTGATCGACAGGCGCGAAGAAGGGCGAAGGCGCTGGAAGTGAAGCGTCGAGGTGGGGGCATCAAGCGGTTTCTACACAGTGTAATTGCATTTTTCTTCGTATCCAGCTTGTAGATTCGATCTTCGGACACTGAACTAACTTTTATACGTTGGCAGAGCGTGTTGTATCTCATGATCGTGAGCCTGCCATCCGAAGAAGAACTCAATGATGCAAAGAAAGCTCTGACTGAGGATCCCGGGAAATGATGCACGAAGACAATCTGGGGCTATTCAGAAACTCGAACTTTCTGATGAGAAGGCTCCGATATTGAAATATGACATGACCACATTTTACAAAGCTGGTCCTATTTGCTGCTGCTTCAATACACGAATGAAGATACACATAGGCACTGTTTATTCTCCGAGGCCACACCAGACTTGCACGTAATCCTCATGACTTTGTGGACCTCATTGGCTGAATTCCCTTTCTATTACACATATATGCAAAGACATTTGAGCACGTATATGTAAACATAACTTCAATACACATGATTTCGGTCAAACATAAACGACATCAGATAGGATATCAACGTTTCTCGAAAAAGACATACACATCGCAATGCGTGATGGATTTGAGAATTGAGCTCGAGTCTAAAGAAATGAGACGCCGAATGATTTACTTTTGGTAATGATACATGGAGGTTTCTGCCTAGGAAGGGCAGAGCAAGAAGACTCCAACTGCAGGAGATGGGTTTGGAACCACGATGAAGTAGCTATCAGCATCGAGGACCGACTGGCTCCTGAAGTGCAATTTCCTGTTTCAGTTGAGGATTACTGGGATGCTTTGAAATGGATTGCAACAAACTCGGAGATGCTGAATGCACATGCTTCTAAGGGGTTCGTCTTGGGCAGCACGTGAGTTCCATTCTGAAGCATTTGATGAACACATCTCTGATGAAAACCAGATCATCCAACTCAACTTGTGCTTTGGTACTCTCACACTTAGCAAGAGATGAAGCACTTTCTCCTCCATTGACAGGACTCTTCCTCTTTCTCCCAACAACATGCCACCCATCAACTCTCCCCGAGCCCCATGCGTTAGACATCCGCATTGTCAGCTGGGAGCAATGCCGCGATCCACCATCTTCAATCGAGTAGCTTTGGAACACTTTACTGCAAATTATCCTTGCGATCCGAAGTCACCTTTGAGAAGTCCTATGTTATGGCCAACCGGACATGCTTCACTTTCTCCAACGTTCTTCATCATTGCTGGTGCGGATCCGGCAAGGGACTATGGGTTAATCTATGAGGAGGTCCTGAGAGAAGTATGAGTGAGGACGAAATTTGAACTATTCCCTGGCTTGCCGCATGGGTTTTGGGGATTCTTTCCGCCAGCGGACTTTTCCAGAGACCTTCATAAGAAGTCGGAAGAGGGTTTCAGTTGGCTGCTGGCCAATGATCAACGTTGCAGCGTTGCCACCCGCCCGGCCAATAAACGGCCTTCCTCAGCCCGCCGCCGCCTTCCTCCTCCTCGCCAGTGATTTTTTGACCTCCGCCTTCTTTCTCTTCGCTAATAAAAAGTGATTAGCCAGCTTAGCCAAACGAGGGGCATTTAGGTGCCAGCCTGCTTAGCCTTCCTACTCCTCGCCAGAATATATGTCAGCCTTCCTTAGCCTCGCCAAAAGATCCGAAAATTTAGCCTTCCCTACTCCTCGCCAGCCGATTCAAGTTAGCCAGCTCAGCTTGAGCCCCCGCGAAGGAGTGGCTGGGCGGGTGGCAACGCTGCAACGTTGAAGGCTGTAAAGAGTTAGTTTCCTTCACAACAGCCACTTTGATTTGTTCACTATTTACAAGAACCCAATAACATACTAGACTTCCGTCTGACTGGTCAATCCCACCTACGTATATTTTGATCATTCAGAAATTTCAAGACTCAACGTTCCACTTCAACCCCATGGATTCGGAGCAACATGGTCTTCTTACTCTCTTTGTTGTCGTCTTACTTATATAGCCAGTCACGTATCGAAGCGGAGAAATGGGTTCCCCCGATGTGTAATCCTCTCGGCTTTCCGGTTGTCTTTCCTCAATTTGCCCTCGCCGAATTACTCTTCGGCAAGGATAGTCATCTTGCTCACCAATCGCACGGCCGCTTTTCCGCCGCCTATTTATCAATTCTCCTCGAACGAACAGGCTGCTTATTTTGTGAGGGATGATAAATGGCATTCAGCTTTGGATCAAATACATGACTGTCATACCAGACTCATACCTGATTTAATCAAAAAGCCCTCAAAATGGCAGTCCCATATACCGAAGACTGGACCTCGCTCTCCAAGCCCAACAGTGAGCTAGAAGCGGTAAGTCTGTATTGTTAATTTGCGATGCCTTCGCTGATTGCACAAGATTCTATCGTCTCTAGGAGATTGCAAACTCGTCAAGCCTGATACGACCCTTGACTCGCTCCGCGCCGCTGCCGAGTGTCGTCCAAGCTCCGAACTATGGCCTGAAGTTGTAGAGCACGACATTGAAATTCCGGTCCGAGAAGGGACCTTCAATCGTGCGAGAGTCTACAGTCCAGTGAACTCGAGTCCCGAGGGCAAATCGCTTCTAGTATATGCTTTTGGGGGAGGATTTGTGATGGGGAAACTTGAGATGGAAGAGATGAATTGTCGGACGTGGGCCAAGAAGTTTGGAGGGGTGGCTGTGAGTATTACTTACAGGTAAGTTCACCTTTGCTTGACGACCATGGCATTTGCTGATTTCTTACGCAGAGTGTGCCCTGAGAATGCCTGGCCGACTCCAATTGAGGATGTCTACGATGTTGTGAACTGGGTAAGTAATGTAAGCTGCAAGAGGAATCCATCGCATACTGACTTCTCTCCAGATTGGGACCAATAGCAAAGACCTCGGTGCCGATCCCGCCAAGGGTTTCGTACTTGGTGGCACGTAAGTACTCACATTATACAATCCGATTGCACATCAACGACTAAGTATAAATAGTTCAGCAGGGGCGGTAGCAGCAATTACTGTCTCTCATCTTCGGCGAGATGAACGTCTTACTCCACCTCTCACTGGTCTGCATCTGGGAGTACCTGCTCCGTGTATCGTCTCCTCACTTCCAGCGAAATACCGGGAAAAAGAGAAGTCGTGGGAGCAAAATATGAATGCGCCAATCTTTAACGTTGAAGTCAGCGGTTTTCTATCTAGTAAGTATTTTCATTCTTTTGTCGTCGTTCAAAAGCTTACTGAATATTAGGACACGTTGATTACAAGCCATTCGATCCTCTGCGTTCCCCCTTGCTCTTTCCCACTGGCCATAAAGACTTGCCTCCGACTTACTTCATTATTGCTGGAGCTGACCCCTGGAGAGACAGTGGTTTGATTTATGAACAAGTATTGAGAGAAGAGTGTGGAGTAAAAACCAAGGTTGATGTGTATCCTGGATTGCCTCATGGCTTCTGGCAGATATTTTCTGCGGCAGGCTTCTCGAAGGAGTGTAGAGACAAGTCCGACGACGGACTGGAATGGTTGCTCCGCCAGTGTGAATGAGCCAGGAAGCATTTATCTGTTCACCTCGAGATATTTTATCATCTGATGTTCTCGCTCCGTGGTTTTGAACGAGATGTATTTGGATCGCAATGATTGAAGCTGCTCAGGACCTCTTCTCATCGATAAGTGTCTTTTTCAGTAATAAATGTGCAAGTTTATCATGTCGATTGTAGTTTTAGAAAGCTTTCAATATCTGCTTCGGAAATGCTCTCTAAAGTCCCATGTCAGTTCAAAAATCCGAGCCCGCCAAGAAATCGATGTCTGGCCGCTTTGAGATATTCTTGAGACCAATCAAAGAAAGCCCCACCAATGCGCGTTGCTCTGTAAGCAATTTATCGATATGATTTCCACAACCGAAGATCTGAAACCTGGTTTTCTTTGAAGGCATTGAGCTTACTACGAAAGAGGTAGTATCGGTACGTATATGGAAATTCTTTTCAGCTTCCATGTTTCAGCAAGACCTTAGTTGAATCCTATGCGTGTACCCTGCATCGTTTTCTCCAGGGGTTGACTATCTTAGTACTCGTGGACGGAGGAAGTAGCTGCAACTTGAAGTTGAGAACTCTCTGAGCAATTGTGCTGACTTAAATGTAAGCTTGAAAGATCAAGAGTTATCTTTCTAATGAAAACTGGAGCGTAAGGCGGTTGCAAGAGATAGTGTTAAGCAATACGCAAAGGCCTCGAGGAAGCTACTTCAAGGGTTCTGTGTAGAACCCATCCCTTGACTTACGAAAAGAGCACGGGCATGTCTAAGACAATATCCACTACCCCATAAACGGACATGCAACCGTGCTTGGAATATATCCTCGTGCCATGCAAGACACATTTGCTCGAAATAGACAAAGAACCGACCAATCGAATTTTCTGAGGATAGTCTTTTAGACAGCCATCTTCTGGTGTAACTACCGAGCCACCTCGCTTAGCAATAAGGGGCGCAACAGTGCCACAGTAGCCCCGCACGATTGGATCCGGTTGTAGCTTCGATGGCCTTCAACAGGACTTCCCATGATTGGAACGAGAAAGAGGATACACCATTGGTCCCATCACGCCATTTTCAACACGTCGAGCGTGATGCAGCACTTAATCATCCACCTTCGACAGAGACCACGCGTACCACATCTGCATCAGCCGAAGAGAATAGTGGCGGGCTTTCACTGCGGTTCATCGATGAGTTCGAGAGACAGACTTCCTCGCAAGTCAAGCGAGAGATACGAGCACATGTCAGAAGAGGGACACATTTGAAAAGGAAGCGACTCAACGATGCATCGAAACCCCGAGTCTCTTCAGTCCAAAGACCACTTCTCCAGAGAAAAGTAGAAAATAGTTCTACCGCCAAAGCTGAACCCACACTTCAACTTCCGGCAACATATGATCACGAGGCAATAGTCCCTCGAGTAGCAGAGCAAACTCCGATGGAGGACCAAGATGCAGTCTCATTATCACTGCACTTTCCTCTATCTCGTTGGCAGTTCAACAACAGTAAGTGCCATCAGCTTGGTCAAACCCAACCCGCAATCTTTCTAACACATTCAACAGCAACACCTTACGCTCTACTAACTAATGATAATGCACCAATGTTGCAACTAGATGCTAGAAGATGGCCATTCCCACAACTAGTTCGAGGAAATGGACCTGCAGTTTCTGTCTGGATGCCTCGAGCATCCATTCCAGTTCCCAATGCAAGGTCACAACGACCATGTCTATTGAGGAGTGCTCAGGTTGTGCCATGGATAGCGCAAAGTCTTGATTACTTGATGTTCAAAAACGAGGCCATACAATGGGTTAATCAACGTTTGTTGGTTCCTGAGCATGCTACGAGTGATGTTACTATTGGAGTCATCATTTTTCTGATGAGTTGGGAGGTGAGATCATATCCCAACAGGCAGATCCCCCGTGCCGTCTTACAACTATGTCATTTTATGAGCCAAAGAATTATTTGTAGCATAGTAGCTGACAATTTTTCTAGATCGCTCGTGCCAACATCCCAGAACTAAAACTTCACATCAACGGGTTATTTCGAATTATCAGTCTTCGCGGCGGTTCTCCCAACATTACCTCTGTCGATCATTTCTGCTGGAAGATCGCTCTGTAAGCACCCTTGACCTCAGACTTATCCCTTTACTTACGACTCGTCAGAATCGATCTTTTGGTTGCCGTTCTTACAGGAAATGAGCCCAAGCTCTCTTTTCAAACTCAAGAAGAAGTGCTCGGTGCACCTGCAATCAATCCGTCGATTGGAGGGTTGCAGGTTGCTGACTCCCCGCTTTATGGCACGGAGCCATTGGCGTTGGTGCTTGAGGGGTCTAAATTCTGCAAAAATGCTGTACTCTTGCTTCAACATATGCAAGATTTGACAAAGGGTTCCGGACGAGAGGAGCCATCGCCCTTGATCCCTCGAAATGAAGCGAATTCGCAGGCTTCAACAGGCACACTTTGCAAGATTGTTCATGCCACATCATCCATCTACTGCCGAACATTCAATAATCCACCAACACCATTTTCGTCGCCCTCCAATGCTGACGCCTTAGCAATTATATCGACATGTCTAGAAGATACGACGAACGACGAAACTTGGACTAGGTACCCAGGCATACTGTCTTGGATCGTCCTCACTGCTCTCGCGGCATCTATTCATCAACCACAATGTAGCTTTTTCGCCATGTTCGTATTTCGAGTGGGAACATCTGCCGCATGGTGGGGACCACGAGAGGCAAGGAAATCCATTATGACTTTCTTGGATGTCAAGAGAAGGTCGGATGGTCTTTCTATCTAAACTTTTGCTCTATGCTCGAATTGTGTTTTGAAAACAAAGATTCAGGAAGCATGATAGTCTAAAAGTATATACAAAGGAAAAAAGTCAAGGTCATTCGTTTTTCATCCACAATCTCACCCATTATTGCTCATGCCTCCTCAGTTGTATCCGCAGTTGGCTCTTTCTTCTTCTTTATGCTCTTGAGACCCATGCCCCACGCGGCAAGGAATGCGGCCGCAGATGCAGCGCAAGCAAGGTACTATCACAAATCAGTTGCTTTATCTTCGCTGTTGGCCTGTAAGAGACTTACAAAAGTATTCGTAATAGCTTCATTATACGCTTTCAGCACCCCAGGAAGTTGTTCACTCGTCACAGCGGCTCTAACTCCCGAAGCTCCAACCTCAAAAATCAACGCTGAATCAACTCCCGCAGCATATTCCCTGAGTGCCGATCGCAAAGAACTACTGAAATCAGTCTCTGCCAGAGCTAAAAACACCGCTCCTCCAAAGTATTGACAGAAAATGACAAGTGATGTGCCGACTGCCATTGTGGACGGATCAAGAGCATGCTGGGCTGCGTTGATCGGTTGCTGTAATGTCATACCACGGCCGAATCCGGTAAGGATTTGATAGCCTACCCATGCGCCGGTGCGAGTTGATGTGTTGAAGGTTGACATGAGACCACCGCCGACGGTCGTGATTAAGTTTCCTACAAGGACGAAGATGGTGGGAGTTCCCAACTTTCCGGCTATGTGGATATCAGCTTTGAGAACAGTACATGAAAACTGAATTTTTTTCTGGGCGGGGAGGGGGGAGAAACGTACCAATGATGCCGGTCATAAAGGTGACTGTGATAACCGTCGCTGCCGTGGCCATGAAGTACACCCCACTTTTAATCGGACTCACTCCCAGTATAGTCTGGAACCACACGGGCAAGTAATAAGCAAATATTGATAGAGACCCATATTGAGCCGCCACGACGAGGCAGCTAGAGTAAATAACCCGGCGGCACAGAATAGATAGGGGAACCATAGCAGTGTCGCCTCTCCTGCTCTCCCAGAAAATGAATACTGCGAGACAAGCTGCAGCTCCAACAAATAAGCCAATGATGATGGAAGAATTCCAAGAGTAGGTAGATCCACCCCATTGCAGAGGTAAAAGGACCATAATACAAAACGGCGCAAAGAGGGCAAATCCGATGGGGTCAAGTCGATGAACACTTTCGTAAAGCGTAGGTCTGTTCTCTCTCTTCGCTTTGGCTTCCGGAATGCGAATGAAGGCAATAAGAACCAATGTAACAGCTCCTGCTGGTAAATTAATGTAGAAGCCTGGTACATGTAAGCCCTGTGCAACCAAAGAAGTTTATGGCTCTGGATCGAGGATTTGATTTGGACTTACACCACCTCCAAGACGCCTTCTCCGTCAAAACTCCTCCAATTATGGGCGATATAATGCTGCCCAACATAGCAAAAGCGTAGATGAACGCTACGAGTTCTTTATTTTCGCATCATAATCAGTATTCTATAACATTTCAAATCTTATTGAAGACAAGCATAAAAATACTTACGTGTGCGTTTTTCCTTAGGCGCCGAAGTAGCGACAATCGTGAAGCCACCGCTGAAGATTCCTGCTCCGCCTATGCCAGCGACCGCACGACCGACGATGAGAGCTGTTGATGTCGGGGCGACTCCGCATATTAGAGAGCCGATCTCGAAGATTACGACGAATGTGAAGAAGGTGATCTAAGGATTGTTAGAGACGCGGGACGCAAGAGGGTGGCTCTTGGACATGTACCTTGGAGTTGTAGAATTGATATAATTTTCCGGTGAGGGGTGCGATTGCACATCTACCAGAAGAAACGAGGGTTACGATCATGTGTTCATCAAAGATGTGAGACAGGAATAGAACTTACAATGTTATCAAGTATGCACTTCCGTACCAGCCTGAGTCGAGTTAATCATTGTGGTTAAGAGATTGATAAACTAGCTTACCAATATCCTGAATCCTATGAAAGTGTGTTGTGATCACGGGGACAGCCTATAAATGTCAATATCTGAACACAGAGGACATTGAAGAGAGCGAGCTCACAGTCACAATGATAGTGACATCCAAGCTATACAAGAACCCCGCCAATGATATGGCCGCAATCAACATCACCAGCGGGTAGCCAGTCAACACCTCCGGGATCTCTTGTAACTCCGTTGGCTGTTCAGAGCTTGAATCATTGCTTGGAACGGGAATTCCATCTTTTTCTCCTTCCCTCTTTTCTTTTTCTCCGAGAGAGTTTCTGTTCAAGGAATTTGCATCGCTGGTAGTTGAGTCGTCCATCTTGGAGTTTGTTCCAAAGAAAGTATAGTAGAAGATATCGTCCTATGGAGGATACTGGTGAGGCTTCACCGTTTGATCTTTCAAGAGCCCAGTTATCCATCTCATACAAGTACATGCTAAATTCGTTGGCTGTCTCCGACGGAGACGGGGGCGAATGCACTCCGAATCTGGTGGACTCATCAGCTTTCGCTAATAATACCGCAATCTCCGCCAATGACGGGAGCACCCTTCTCCCATGTTATACGTCCCCTTTTTTTTGTCGACATGTCGGCCTTTGCCGATTTGTCAGTGATGGGAACGGCCTGGTTGATGGTGCAGTAGCCCCAAGAGGGCCACAGTGCTATGTAGTGAGGATAACTTTTCAGAAAACGCAAGTACCAAAATCCTCACGCGGTCGTCTACAAACTATTTTATTTCATGGAAGAGCGACACATCATTCAAGGAATCCATCAGCTCCCGGCAAGCTCTGCCAAAACCCATCATCCAACAAATCAAACTGATTCATAAAATACGGCATCATGACCCCTCCCTCCGGAAACTCCGAACTCGGCCGCATATCGTGCGTGCGATTCTCACTCGCCAAGAGACGTTCAAACCGAACCTTCACCAGTCGCATCCTCTTACTGATCTGCAGCCACGGTTTATCATCCTCTCTCACGTCGTATAGTGCGCTCTTCTCTTCCATCAGAGCAGCGACGCGCTCTACTAGGGCGCAGAGATCCATGGATGTTTGCAGGTTGGAGGAGTCCCAGTCCTCGGCGTCGAAGAGGGAGAGTTTGGATAGAGTCATCATTACGTAGTACATTTGGGTTGTGCTTGCTGGCCCGAAGTTTGTGTGCGGCTTGGAACCGACGGAGAAGTAGAGGTCTATGATTAGTTGGCTGGTTTTCAGACACAGGAGTAAAGCGTCAGCTCTTTGAATACTGGGTCCGTGCGCAATGTTTGTCGGAGGCATTGAGAATCCTATGTCGAAGAGGTAGAGCTCGACGGAATGGTAATGCATGAGCATCAAAACTAGGTCAGAGACTAGGTCAGATACAAAACTTGATTTGGGTGCTATTTCAGGAAGGTTGAGGTTCAAAGCTTACCATCATCCTGAAGACTTGCAGGCAACGACACCTTGAACCTCTGCAATTCAGACATGAGCAACTTGAGTTGAACACCGATAGCAGGATTCCATTCCCGCTGCTGCGCAGGGAATCCTCGAATTCCACTGTGCTTGATGTCCTCCGAAATCCGCTGCAGGGCTGCAAGGTGGGCGAGATACACATCATTGTCATTTTGGGGGGCATTGAAAATTTCGTCGTAGCAATGTTGGATGTAGGGAGTCCAGTGCAGCGGATTGGCTCGACAAAAGTTTGTTGATACCTAAGACGAGTCTGAGCACAAATCCAATGATTAGGAAGCAGTGTTCGGTGAGCTACCCACGCATGAAAAGAGGTAAAAGCAACCCAAAATGACTCGTTTTTCTTCTCGAGATGGCTCGGATCCACGAGCTAGCGTTGTTTGGTGACATGAGATTATGCCTTTCATCTCATTGAGGAATTTCTCATGACCTTCGAAACTTGTTGAAGGTACATAAAGATAGAGATCGATAACCATAGAGAGGGCGATGCCTAGCAGAACGACGACCTGCGATGTCTTGTGAAATAGACTATTGTACCTGCGAGTCGCCACAGACGATCAGAATGAGGATTGAATAGGAAGATGTCAGGGTGCACAAACCATGTGATATATACCATCAGTCCTTGAAGCATATCCAGATTTCGATTGCCAAGTAAAACTACATTCTCCGATATTCGTGCGAGGAACTTCTTGCCCAACGCGAGCTGATGAACAGAATCATGGTATGAAGCAGCCGCAATGATCGCCTCGTATAAGAAAGGCTTCTCTCTGGCGAGTATTTCGGCAGTTGTGAGCTCCGGAATCAGAATGAATGGTACCTGTCGAGCCAAGTTCTGCCGAAAGAGGTCTAAAAGCTCATCGGGACCTTTTTCTATGGGGGAGGCTTGTAGCAGAGATGCACGACCGGGGCCCAGATACGGAGTAGTCGTGTCTTGAGCTTGTGTGCTAGGAGTCATCAAATTGGAAGGATCCAATGGGCTACTGCCGAGTCTCGAACCGTCCCCAGCGACGGGAGAAGGTTGAGATGCACTGAGGACAGAAACCACATTGTTCAATCTAGCTTCCAGCTCAGCGATTCGTTCAGCCTGGACGTGGTGGCTGCAGAATACGCAAAAAAAATCAGCAAAAGTCATCTGTATCAAGAAGACGTTAGATCCCACGTTGTCTTTCCAGTCTTCCGTTTTCGCACAACCGGCGCTTGCATAGTACAATCTCTATTCAATCGATTGCACCTGAAAAAGCATAAGTCACGCGCCATAAACTAGTAAGATCTTACTTGGTGGGGTAAGACATGCCTCTCGCATTTTCCGGCACAATGGCCATAACATTTGGCCTTCGCCTTGACGCAATTCTGACAGGCTTGTGCTCGGGGATTGACGTATTCCATGTTAACTCCATGAAGTTTGAATCGTGAGAGGAGAGGAGAGGAGAGCTGACTTTATGACCCGACGGAAGAGCGGAGTGAGATTTAAGTAACTCCGTTCTCCGACGGAGAGGGAATAAAAACGACTCCGATTCGGTCGCTTGCCTCGATCCTCGACTTACTGGGAAACATAAAGTTCAGGCAGGTTTTACATGTTTATCTCGCAACAAGAAACTTGTATCTTGGTAGATACCGAAGTCTTTCTATAATCGTCCGGTTGTCTTCGAATCCTGGGACTTCAACAATGCTTCATCAACAGCATGCAAATTGAAAATGGACACTCGACCAGGGCTACTGGTGGGGTGATCCACGATTCCTTTCAACTCGCCAAAATTCCGCCGGAGAATGAAAAGATCTATGTTATTATCAATATACAGTCTTGCGCAAATAGCAAACAGCCTCCAAAGCCAGCGCCAAAGTCAGCAGGTTATTAAAGCAATGCCATGCCACCTAGCATAGAAACAACGACCACCATAAACGCACCCAATGCCTTCATGTCCACTGGTGCAATCGCAGCTCCAGCACTCTTCTTAGTGCTGGTACCGCTGGATGCACTGGATGTCTCAGTCACAGTTCCTGAGCCTGCGGATGCGGTTCCAGCGCTCTCGTTATCCGCAGTCCCAGCATCTTGACTCCCAGCACCATCCAATCCGGGTCCTGTACCCGCACCAGTGCTCATATACTTCTCGGCAGCACTAGGGATCGCAGGGAGATCATCGTTAGCGACGTCCCATTCTGAAGACTCAGTGGGACAAGTTGTAGCAGCTGAAGTAGAGCTAGCTCCTCCATCACCAGATGGGTTTGTTTGTGCAGCATAGGCCGAAGAGAGGTATGTGAAGTCTGCATTAGGTGTGACCGTATCGCCATCGATGGTCACAAGCCCGTAGCCGTTTCCTTCTTCCGAGTACTCGTACACAAGACCACCTGAGAAAACTCCAGTCATTTCGGTATTGTAGAGAGCAGAGACTTCTTCGAAAGTTCGGTTGTTGGTGATACAGCCATATTCAGACATGCTATGTAGAAATCAGTACGGTTCGTTGACACATAGGAAGTCCAGATAGACATACAAGAGAGGAATACCGTAGCCGGTATAGTTTTCCACGAGAGTGTCCCAACCAGAAGTAGTGAATGACGAGGGATCACACCACGAGTAATCGTTGATTGCGTAAAAGTCTGATCTTTGGTCATCAGTTCCGCAGTTGAGGTAGTCTGCCAAGATCTCTTGATTTTGTGAGACATCTGCTGCTGAGTATCCGACTGGAATAGATCTATATCCCCGATCTCCAATATATTGCTTCATGTCCCGTACGACAGCCTTTACGTATGGGGCACAGTTGGTGTTATTGACATCGTTGATGACCTCGTTTCCTGACAAGAACCTGCCAGCGAATTAGCACTCTGAGAGGCGAGAACATGAAACCTCCCCAGACAGCTGCAAGCTATAGTCTGGTAGGTAAAGAATTTCAGGTTAAAACAGAGACCAACGTACGCAAGAGTGTTGGTGTAGTTTGCAAATGCATCGACGGTCGCAAAAACACTTTGTAAATAAACGCTGTTGTACGATTCTTTGGGGTCGTCTCGGTTGAGGGAGTACTTTGAAGTGTCCGTGTCTAGAACAAGGTAAATTCCAGCTTCGGCCAGGGCATTCATGCAGGTGTCATGGTTCTTTGAATTATCCACTGCGTACACTCGGATTGTGTTGATACCAAGCTTGGTGAAATATGGAATGTCACGAGCACAAGCTGTGGCGTTTGCAATTGGATCGCTCTCAACACCAGTTCCTCCACCTGTAGTTGTTAGCAAGCCATAGGCTGCAGTTCTGAAGGGGAAACAAACCTGGTTGATAGTCGACGCCTCGAATATAGAATCTGTCCGAGCCTTGGTAGAATGCTTCGATAATGTCAGCATTAGATTTCTTCCTCAGGTCATAAGACTAACCATTGCCCGTAACAGTGATAGGCGTGACGGTCGTGGTTGCTCGCGGTTTAACCACAGGTGATCCAGATGCAGCGACGCCAGTAGAAAGGGCAGCGGCCACAAGACCTGTCAAGAATAAACTTTGCTTCATCTCGAGACAAATAGAGCGAATGTAGAAAATGGATAAGAAATCTGTGAGATGATAAAGAGAGCCTGGAAATAAGTGAAGCCTCGTAGAATCAGCCTCGTGAAAGCAGGGAAGTAACGAGAGGTAAACGCCAAGAAAGAAACGAAAGTCTTGGCAGAAGGAAGAAAGCGAGATGGAAAACGGAACAAAAGGACAGGAGGAAGTGCGCTCTAAAAAAGCTCAAACCGATTCCAAATTTAGGAGCAAAAGCTGCAACGAAATTTGTTTTGGACCCTCCAGCCTCCATTACGCGGCCGAGTTACGAGGACCCGCGTTATCCAAGGAACTAGCGAGAAGCCCCTGCCAAGAAAAATGGGGGTTGGTCATGTGATTGACGCTCGTGTGCGCAATTGGAGTCGGATTCTAGACAGTGTCGACAAGGGAACAGTGGCGATGTTGGCTATTGATTCATGTTGCAAGCTGCCAGGACTGCTTTTCGGAATCTCCCCACGAGAGTGTTGAAATCTGCTCACCGGCGTGCCGATTCCCAATTCTACATGCTCGTTGACCATTCTCTATTCGCCCCTGAGTCCATGTCGGTCCCGGTATCTGCTAGTCTACGGGCCGGCATCGCCAGTTGTATCAAAGCAGACCCGCTAGATGGCGATACGGCTCCAGAAGTGGTGCTATAAATCCCAAGTGTTAAACAGAGATCAGCGCTGTACCCACAAAACGGGACCACGAAATCAAGTTGTTCATCCTCATCATCTGTACTTGATCCAAGAAAGAACGTGACCAGCTGCTCTGGCACCAACGATTTCGAATCAGTTCCCACTGGCTGCCGCAACTTAGTTCAGCGAATTGTAGAAACGACCCTATCGAACCTGGCCCATTGAGCTCTTGAAAGTCCTTCCAGCCAACTAACCAATACAACAGATGGATTGCGAATAGCATCTTAGATCCGAAGAGGATGAGTTGATGGAGTGCTGATAGTCCATTCCAAACAAATAGCTTTTGGGTCGTATTCGTAGTTCGAAGTGCTTTGGTTACCTAGACTTTATGCCACTGGTATGGTCCTCTCTTGGTACTCGTACTCGCTGCTCCGAAGAGGGTGAAATTCCAATCTTTGCTCTTTTCGTAGAAACGCGAATTGACTCCATGATTTATGAGAAAATGCATCTGAGGATCTCGTTAGGAAGAACTATTTCTCGTCTGATTCCGTGGAACGTTTAAGACAGGATCAGCATGTCGTGAACAGGCAGGTGAGGCCGCGTCGAAGAGTGAAGTTTGGGCCATATGAGAGAGTACTGAATGCTGCTGCTGCTTCAAAAATGCTTCGTGTGGTGAGGGACACTTGTTAATCAGGTCTGCGAGTTATTAAATTGGAGCAAATCAACTATCGAGTCGAGACACTGTCTGCCATGTTCACGAACAATAGTGTGAAGGTCAAGGAGGAGTGGAAATGGTTGGCGGTGCCAAGGCGGCCGCTTCAGCCGAACTCGTTTGTTTACAGCGAAGAACAACCCCACGTCAACTCTCTGACCACTTCCACCACCGCACCAAACATCATCTTACGAGAGATACCATGTTATTATTGTATCACAGTATCTTTCTTTTCGAAAGATGTCTTCTTCCACAACCAATTCGTCTCTTGCACGTTCTCGAAGTCTGCGAGTTGCGCCCAGCAACACCTTGAAGCCAGTGACCGCTTCCGCACCACAACTACAAATTGGACCTTCGAATATCGCATTGTTTCTCACGAATCTGCGACTCCTCGACCTTGACCTCCGCGATGACTGGCCGAACGTTACTACTGTAACCTTTTCCACCAAAGATTCGCAGCAGAACCAAAAGAAGCGGATACAATGCGTCGAGTGGGCATTGTACCAGCTCTTCGCCTTGTGGGATCCCGAGCAGGCTCGAGATGTATTTCTCTTAAAATCTATGTCCTATGTTTGAAGCTGACGGTTTGGCCTAGAAACTCCAACCATTCTTCCCTCCACTCGAACCTCTCCAATCGTTGAACCTACGTGCTGCCCTTTTCCGTTGTCTCGACCAAGCCAAGGAGAACGGGTTTCTAGGACGTGACACGGTGCTTCGAAAGACGATGTTAGATGAATGCAAAGGGGAGAGGCTTGAAGAAGTCCTTGCCGTCTTTTCGAATGTCGTTCTAAAGAAAGTACTGCAGCAGGGAACCTCTTTCGAACATCAGGCTCTTGCACAGCAACTTGCGCTGGAAAACTTCTCTTACACCGGAGAGCGATCAGTGTTATCTGCGTTGATTATGGCACACAAGAGTTCTCTCAGCAACCTCCTGCGTGACAAGAAAGACGCCAATGCCAAATACCATGATTTCGGAGACCTCCTCGACCTAAACGAACGCCGTATCGCACGGAGACACGAACAACTGAAGCAAGCTATTGAGGAGAATGGATCGGCCGATAATATCACGGATTCAGAGGTCAGAAGTCTGCAGGAACAAGTTGAACAAAACTGGTCTGGAAATCAAGAATGGCTGGAAACATTACTCTACGGCGACAATCGAGCCAATGCTGATGGAGTTCTGGCGACCCGGTTTGAGAAAATATGGAGCCATGTCGAGGCAGGTAGTATTGGCGAGATTGAGGGAATCCACAAGGTTGGACTTCTCGAGCAACTCGACGCACGAGTCAAGGACCAGGAGAATCGTCTGGCAAGATGGCAGGACTTTGGAAAGACACTCTGCAGGCCTGACGGATCATCCCCATCGAAAAAGCCTGTACTCAGTGCACAACAACAGAAGATCGAACTCGGATTTACCAGACATCAAGCTCTACAGATTGGACGAGCAGCTTCGGAAAACCGAATCCGGCCCGCTACAGCGTCTCTGGATGAATATAGTCGCCTGATTGAGAATATGAAGTCGGAGCTGGCAGGCGTTGGTAAAAGCCAGCCTCCATCGAAACGACCTGTACGCCATAGTCTCGTCCCCGACAAAGGAAGTTCTCCATCTCCGTCAACAGTTTCAATGCAGCAAGAGTCAGCTACAGCTCATGATGAAGAATGGTCATCCGCAAGTGATAACGACGATGTTGTCTCACCAAGTACTACTAGCTATGCTACAAAATCTACATCCAGAACTCCTCCTTCTCAAGGCCCGGTCAACAATAGCAGAGGAAGACCCGCTCAAAGACCACCCTCGCCCGTTCAGGAAATTTCCACTAATCAGTCGAGTCCGATTCATGCCAAGGAGGTATCTAAAAACACTTTGGAGCCGATTGTGATTCCCGAAGATCGGTCACCGTCTCCGCTACCACTTTCACACACACCCCCACCTCTAGAACCGCCGAAGCCAAACGTGGGACAAGAGTCCGAATCAGATCTTGCGGATCATATATTGAACTCGATCTCAGCGACTTCACCATCTCCAAAGAAAACTCGTCACACGCTATCGTTAGCAGAGCGTACTCGATTGTCGATGTCTCGCGCTTCCCATTCACGCTTGTCAGATCTTCATGATGAATTTGAGGTTGCTGAGCTTCCTCGACTTACCCTTAAGTCGAGGCCATCTATGGCTGTGAGAACCGTAGGAGCGGAATCGGATTCTGATAAGCACGCGGATTTGATAGAGCGAACAAGGAAGAGCATGGCAGGATTCGAGGCAGCTCAGAAGAAAGCACAGCTTGAGAGAAGGAAGAGCGTGAAGGATGCGAAGAAGAAGCAAAGGGAGTCAAGTTATTTTCCCAAGGTAGAAGAGGAAGTTGTCACTCCAGATATCAGCACCATTGAGATGCTCGAGGGAGATCCAGACTATGAGAGTGTGTTCAAGAGTCGACCAAAGATTAAGACTAGTCCAGCTGTCAGTCCGACTAGGATTTGGGAGGAGAGTGAGGATTGATATCCTTTGTTTGTATCATCCACTCCATGTTGGAGTAGTGGTTTGTGCCATAGATTAGGCTAGGGTTATAGCATGAAATTATGAACATTACGAGGGCTCAATGCCACCTTCAGTTCCCTTTCCGTGCCTTCATGGTCCACGGCTTTGAGAAGCTATCCTAAAGACTGGCCACTTGGCATATGCTCTTGGTCCAAGCCATTATCTTTGTGATGCATATATACAAATATATAACGTCTCTCGTCACAATTTACTAGGCACCCACCTTGGTTTCCTCTTCTCAACAAAACTCCTCACCCCCTCCTTCATATTCTCACCCCCATCCATCCTACTATACCAATTCTCTATCACCAACCTCGTCCCCTCTTCCGCCCCCACCCCTTCCCACCCCATCTTCACCCCCTCCCGACTCACAATAACACTATCCGGACTATTCGCCGCAACCAACCCCGCCATCCTGATCGCCTCCTCGACACACCTCCCCTTCTCCACAACCTTATTCACAATCCCCCACTCCCTCGCCTCTTCCGCGCTCACCGTCCGTCCCGTCAACGCCATCTCCATGGCCCTCTGCCTCCCGACCGTCCGCGTCAACCGCGTCAACGCGCCCGCCAGCGCCACAACCCCAATCTTCACCTCCGGCAACGCGAACTGCGCGCCCTGGTCCGCGATCACCATATCGGCATTAATGATCATCTCGCATCCGCCTCCAAAGCAAATCCCGTTCACCGCGCAAATGACCGGTTTCTTGCCGTTGCGCCGACTCAGGCCGCCGAAGCCGGACGAGGGTTGGGGACGAGATTTCGATTCGGCGTTCGCGCGGTTCCATTCTTTGAGGTCGGCGCCGGCGCAGAAGGCGCGGCCGGTGCCGGTGAGGATTGCGCAGAGGAGGGCGGGCTCGCGGTCGTACCAGCGGAGGAGGGCGTCGAGTTGGTGGTGGCCGAGGGTGTTGATGCAGTTTAGGTCTTTGGGGCGGTTGAGGGTGATGAGGAGGATGGAGGGGGTGGGGAAGGAGATTTGGGAGTCGAGGATGGGAGGCGGTGGTGTTGTGAAGGACATCGTGGTGGAGGCTGTGGAGGTTGTGGAGGTTGCTGGTCGTGGATGGCGGAGGAGTGAGGTATGGATGAGGACTGAGGACGGGACAGGCGGTTTGGGAGAGGATGTATTTTGCGAATGCTGGGTCAGAGAGGGTTTGCCGTGGCATGAAGATTGAGGTGGTTGTTCATGGAGGGAATGGAGGGAAGAGCATTGTTGTCTGTCATATTGCGGGGTGAAGTTGTTGTTGGGTATTCTCGGTGCTGGAAAGTAATCAGCAAGGGAGAAACCGAGGTATTGTAAGCGAATTGATGACAGCACTAACCCTTTTCCGTGCCTACCTCGCCAATTCAACTTTCCTCTTTCCACTCCTCTCTTCAGCATCAGCATTTATTTACATGCTTCACAAACCTGCTTGAATATCGACATACACAATATTTTATCACAGACGACCACCCCACCACAACATCTCGTCATCGCCCCACGACTCTGAAATTAAATCTTCTAGTTTCGGGTCAACGATCTGAGTGGTTCCCCGAACATTGTCCGTCCCGAGAACCGGAATAGAGTACAGTAAAAGTATCCTCTTTTTCCCCGGCTTTATTTCTCATTGTGGGAATGATCCTCCAGCTCCGCCCTCTTGGTAGCTTGAGAGATGAAGCTTCCACTTCTTTTGCTGCTAGAACTTGCGATTGTGGCTCAGGGCATTTTAATCACTGATTTGAAGTCCAGTTGTAGTGTTTGATGCCATTCTCCTCTTGCATTTCTACTTGGGTGATTCATTCATGATAGTTGTCGTGATGCTGTCTTGGCTCCCTATTAGTATCAAGGACATATTGCTCTCCTTATTCCCTGCGAATTTGGTGATTGCAAAGGACGAGAAGGCCGGGTGTGTTGCTACGACGAGAGATGGAGATGCGCTTAGTGGCCAGATTGTCAAGATTGGGGGACTGCTTGAACGAATTGACTCAGCTGCGGTCTCCGACCACGTGAGGCGCCGCTTCCCTTCTCGGCTCTTCAGAGCTTCAGAGGAACATTCCCGGCAATTGCATACTGTAGATAAGATTGTCCCTTCATCAAGGAGAAGATCCCGATTTCCAAAATGGCGTTAGAGTGAGGGGTGCATATATAGCAGATGGCGGGGTTGGCGGGGTTAAGTGGGGTCGCACAAGTAAGCCCTTGTCTCGCATGTAGGGAATGCAAAGCTGCACATGCCGAACAACAATGCCATCCTTCGTACCTCGTTCACTTTACCCCTTTCTGTTATCCTCTCTTTAGAGTTTTGAAATCGGGCCTTCGTCGTAGCTCCCGATTTGGGTCTTCGCGAATCTCGTTAGAACATGAACCGAAGCTACCACCCCTGAGCAGAGAGCGAAAGTCGAAAGTCGAAAATCAAAAGTTAAAGTCGGTAGGAGCTCGACAAGGCTCTTAAAGGGAGCTCACTTGGAAAGAGTGCGATTGCAAAGTGGCCGGACTTTTGAAGCCGGGTCTTGTCAGTGGCCTGTTTTCTATGCTATTAGCGTTGCTTGCATTGCGGACTCTTTCTTTTGACGAGCCTCCCTTTGTTGTAACTCCCACTTCAAACTCTTAGATTCAACTCATATTGTCCTTCTGATTATTCATTGGAATTCTCAAGAACTACCTACGTGTTCTATGCCGCAAGGATGTCTCAATTACTCTTTGGTTGGATGTCTGCACTTTACGCCCTCTCTGCCTCACTGGGGGTGCTTTTGTGTCTGCAAATTCGGAAACTTTCCAAAGGCAACATCAATTCCCTCCCTTGTGAAAGATCTTTATCTAACAACATCAGTTCGACTACTTTTCAACCCCTCACGCTGGCACTTGGTGCTGGTCCTCTGTATCCAGTCAACACTTTCCAAGCATTCGCTTTGAATGCGCAGACTCCTTTCGCAACACTCGACTATGGTCATGAGGTTGCTGGATATCCTATCTTCGACGTTCTTTCACTCACGGGCAAAGTCGAAATCGAAGTCAAGTACGCGGAACAATTCAGCGACCTCTCTGCGCCCTTCTCGGACGGCCCCTATCCCTTCGCCGTTGGCTTGTCGAACACTTATCGTGTGGAGACTTTTAATATCACTGAACCGGGACTCATTAGTGCTTTCCTTCTCCAAGGAGGTCTGCGCTGGCAATCCATTCGTCTTCTTACTAGCGGAAGCATTGCAATCTCGGCAGTTGGTCTGAATGCCTCAATTTCAACGACCGATGTCGATGCTCTTCCGGGTGATTTCAGTTGTGATAATACACTCCTCAATGAAATCTGGGAGCTTGGAGCGAGGACTGTTGGTGTAGCATGTGTTGATCGAGGCTCGCAAAAGGCAATCTGGGAAGTCAGTGGCAATGGTGTCTTTGTCAGAGGCATGCGACCGGGAGTGAGTGCAAATGTTTCAGCGGCTGAGCTACAGAATTATACGTTGCAATTTGATGTGAACATTCAACGAGCTGGCATGGGCTGGGCAGTGGTGAGTTCTTACTTCCATTATCAAGTTATTCAGTGCTAATGCTTAATAGGCAACTCCGCTCCAGTCTCCAAACACAGGCATTTATCTCAACATTGTTGGGGACCTTCCTAGTGCTACGACCTTTGTCAACACTAACACCTCGTTGACACCTCCCAATTCGATAGTCTTGGCTTATGGATATTCTCTCGTCAACCAGACCACACTTCCGTCATATTACCTCGATACGTTCAAGTTGCCTCTTCCTCTCCAGGAGAACACGTGGCACACTATAGAGACAGTGCTCTTAGGCGGCCAGTACCTCGCTGTGCTCGTTGATAAGACAGAGATTTTCAACGTGTCATTGTCCAAATACTAAGATTACATCGATGGGTCAACGATCTCCACCGCAGGTTCCTTCGGCTTTGGGGGCTGGCAAGATGAAGCCTCTTATGTCAAGAATGTTTTCGTATACGACACTGCCAGCGGTTCTCTTCTCTACAACAACTCAATGACGAATGCGACCATCGTTCTTCCCGAATATGGAGTCCACGAGAACTTTGCTTCGGTCTGCTTGGACGGCGGTAAGCGTGACAGATTAGTATGGGTGGGCGATTTCTACCACACTTCTCAGATCATCGGCGCCAGCACTTCTCGAGACGATCTCATCCAGGGTACTCTGCAGTATTTTCTCGATTGGCAAACTTCTGTTGGCCTTGTGCCCATCGACTCACCCATGGGCTATGACCATTCCATCGCAGAATCCGCTTTCACTCTGGGCGGGGGTGGTGCGTCGCCCTTCCAAGTGATGAGTGTTGCAATTCCGATTATCAGATTCTTGGACTCATTGCGTTCACGAATTATGTGATCCAGAGCAACGACCTTGCATGGACCGTCAAGACTTGGCCACAGTGGCAATTACAGGCTGAGTGGATATTGTCCCAGATCAACAGCACAAATGGTCTGCTGTCTTTCGAAGATGCTTTCCTTGGTGGAGCAAATGGAGGTTCTGCCATCAATTGTGCTTTGCTCAAGGCTCTGAATCGTGTCGCTTTTGTTGCCAATGCCATTGGTGATACTGCCTCAGCTGCCAAGTACCAGACTGCCGCGACTTCGCTGTTGGCAGCAATCAACAAGTACCTTTGGAACGCCAAATTGGGATTCTACTCGCTGGATCTAGATTCTTTGAATGACTATTCCGTCGTTGGACTTTCGTTCTGCATTACATCGGGAGCAGCCAACGCCTCGCAGGCTGCACAATCGCTCGCTGCGGTCTTCGCTCTGAAATTGGGCCCTGGCTTCAAGGACTCGTCTCAAGTCAACTCATCCGATCCAACGGTCAATCTTTCTCCGTTCACGAACGGCTTCCTCTTGGAGGCTTTATTGTCTCAGAACAATTCTGGTTCGGCCGCTTCGTGTAGCACGGCACTTCAATTAATAACCACACTATGGGGAGCAATGCTAGCGAACAATCAAACAAGCACTGGTACCACCTGGGAGTACGTCGATCAAACAGGTCAACCTGGCTTGAGTCTCTTCACCAGCTCAGCAGCTGCTTGGGCCGGTGCTCCGACTTACCTCATCACTCGGTACGTAGCTGGACTTCAACAAGCAGCAGGTGTTGCAGGCTTTGGTTACCGAAATTGGGTCTTCAATCCTAGTGCTGGCTTGGCTATGGGACTAAAGACCAGCAACGCGACAGTCATTACTGCCTTTGGAGGACCGCTGAGTGTGCAGTGGCAAGTTGTAGCCATTGCAAGTGGTAATCAGCTCAAGGTCACGATCAGCGCCCCAGCAGCTACGAGTGGTGTTTTTGAGCTGAATGGTACTCGGAAGGTACTCAATGGTAGCGCTGCATACAGTTTTGTCATGAGTATGTAGTGAGGCTTTGGTGAGGAGTAGTGGGGTTTGCGCAATGTTGCATTGGAGCTTTTTGCATACCTTGGTATGATCGATAGCGATATGAGACTTGCGAATAAATATTGCATTAAGAAACATATTTGTCATAGTATTCGCAATTGTTCGTTCTCGTCCTACATCTCGTGGGAGTGAAAACAGTATCTCCCGGGCCCTAGCAAACCATCCAGTTCTATAAATCACTGCTCATGAACAAGAAACAAACCCTAAAAAGGGATCTTGCCCAGCCTCTCGATCACATAATCCAAGTCAGCCAGTTCTCGCTACTCCAATCCAAATTTTCATCGCCCACATCACACCGATCGCAGACATCTACACCTTCGCATAAAATTCCTGCGGCACCATCTGCACATTGGCACTATCCCTCCCAGCACCCCTCTCTAATTCGCTCGGATACCTAAAGTAGAATACAACAGTAACAGCAAACATCATACAACTATCAAAGATATACAGCGTCCATTCATGTCCAAGAAGATACCCATTCTGCCCCATCAAGTACTCGATCACGCGGAAGATAGAGCGAATCATGATTAGAGCACTGACTGCGTAGAGCATGTTGAGGCTTTGTTTCCATGGGATATCGGAACTGTACGATTGTGGCGTTGGGTTGGAACGGAGACGGGACTGTAGGTACCGTTAGCTATAAATCGCCCTTGGCATAGGGATGGTTTAACTTACCTGGAAAACAACAGCCGTCAAAGCAAAGATTCCAAACATGACAATCTGAATAAACAGACCACCCACCACCATGCCCTGGCCGATATTCACCGTACTAGCCGAGAACATCAACCCTGCACTCCCACCCTGAACCAGGAACGACATGATGTCCCCACAGACGAACGTCTTGGTCAACCAGGTGACTTTGACGAGTGAGTGTTTCTCTGCGCCGATGGAGCGGATGATGCGTCCCAGTGTCATGTAGATGGATGCCGCGAAGAGGGCGGGGGCTACGAGAATGAAGAAGTTTTGGATAATGTAGGGCATCAGTTTGCCGGTTTTGTTGTGGGCGGAGGCTCGGGCGCAGTAGCCTACGAATTCAACTGGACATTGGACATCGTGTTAGAGTGCGATTATCGGGAAGGATAGATTGGAGAGGACGTACAGAAACAGCCGATTGTGAAGGCCCAGCAGAACTTGGCTTTTGTTGTCCAGACTTTGTAAGCGTGGGCAGCGGTGGCGAAAAGGAATAAGGTTAAGAAGATACCGGCTGCTGCGCTTGATGGGATGTATTTCCAGAGGTAGTATCCGTTGTGACTTTCGAGGACTGCCATTTTGGAAAATGGAACGGCAGAGGCAGCGTAGAGTTGATGAAGTGTGATCCGAGTGCGAGATTGTCTTTAAGCTGACCTAGAACGTTTGGTTTGTTATATCGAGGACTGGATTGAATTGATGCTTAGAGAATCTGAAAAGACTAACTTCTGGGGCGCCCCCATATGATATATATTTCTTGCTGTGGACCTCATTGTTTGGAAGTATGAACGAAAGGGAGAAGGCATCAAAAGCCTTAGAGGCGCCATTCCCGATTGGGTTTATACGCGGATACTCGACGTATTCTATACGGTATCACCAAGTGAATGCGGGAGCTCCACAATAATGGCTGTGCTGAGGTGGATCTAGGTATTCGTTGACGGCTTTCCTGAATACGATAAGCGACCGTATTCGTATCGTCCACAGCCCATTGATGGCAAAGACCCAGTCATTTCTCTCCACGACCGTGGAGTAAGAATACAAGATGAGCAACTTCCTTATCCTCCTCTCGCCTCCAATGTCTCTCTCCATCTCTCATTTATAGAGATTAAATTAAGGAGTAAATAAAAGAAGTGAGCAACTGGGGAGAAAAGGTGATTCAAAAACACTTGAAATTTTGGGGCTTTGTGGTTGAATAATATCGGGTGCTTTGAAGATAAATCGAAGATGTAGTAGGCCCCTCTGATTTCGTTAGACGCATGGCTCATCTTTCCCATCAAAATCCGGCGCTTTCATCCCTTTGGTGCTGTCCGAAGTTTCAGTGAGCTCTAGGCGTCTGGTGCGCTTATCTGAGCTTTTCTTATACTTTGACCCTTCATTAGATGTTTCGGGCACTGGTAGCTCCTCTTGCTCCGACGAATTTCCCAGCTTAACGTGCTCAGGATCAAGAAGTGACCCCGAGACTTGCTGCAATGGCAGGTCCTCGAACTTCATCATCCAGGCAGGCGATTCTGATGAATGAATTCCTTCAGCGGTAGGAAATGGGAGATCATCCAGATCCTCGCCGGAAGACCCTCGTGGTGGCGGTTCTAGATCTATAGGCTCCGGCATGATCTTGTCTTTGGTGTGATTTACGGTTCCTTGGTGATCGGAAGCCACGGCCCCGGACTTGATTCTGCTTGATGATACATTTGTGCCTTGGTATTTACGTTCATTCTCATACCTCTGTTGCTGCAACTTGCCGGATAGTAGACTTTCTTTTCTGCGTTCTTCCTCAAATCGTTGCATGTTAGTAATTTTCGCCCGTGGAGCCATCGAGATTTCCTTTCTTGACTTCCCTTGTCTTTGTTGCTGTGGATCTTGATCTCCGTCTTCGTCATCATGGCTTCCACTGCTCGGGCCTATTGGGGGCTTTGCTGGTGCAGCTGGAAAGTCAGGGATCAGGAAGGTATTGGGAACAAGTGGAAACTCAAATGATTCGACATCTACCCCACTCTGTACTTCGAACTGCTGCGGGACACTTGAGGGAGTAGTAGTCCCAAGAACAGGGCGTCGTCTTTGAAGAACAGCTTTGCTAGGAGAAAGACCGCGCATTGGCGGGGATTCGAGTACATCTCCGCCACCTTCACTCCCCGATTCGTCGGTGTTGTCTCGTGAAGTATTCTTGCCCTGCTTACGTAAAGCCATTTTCTTTTGCCACGCTAAAGTCTCCTCTTGCACGGCAGCTATTCTTTCATTCGCTGCGGCGCTTCTCTTTGCGGCGTTTGCCGATCTCACCGCGCCATAACCACTCGCAGCATAGTATGCAGAGGTAGTCCCAAGCGTGGAAATACCGGTCCCGAGAGCGAGATTATACTGGAGCTGACTGAGACTACCTGCAGTCGTTTGGGTTGCACCGTCAATAGCTCTTACGGCGAGCTCTTGGGTGGAGCCAAGGGAGGCAGTGCTCTCTTCAACTGCTGCTGCGACAAGCGGCGTCCGGGCTGCACCCTCCGAAGATCTTACCACAAGCTTCTTGCCAGATTTGAGGGAACCAGTACTCTCTTCAACCGCTAATCCAACATGTGGCGATCGACTCACAGCAACATCTCTTGGGCCCACTTTCTGATTGTTGCTTATAACGCCGGCGAAATTGGACGGATATGGGTAATGACTCTCCATCTTCGTGGTTATTCTTGCGTTATGTTCAGAAACCCTGTGCATGTTGCCTGTTCGATCGAAAGTATTGGGGATGTTGTCGGATTGAGTATCACTATCGCGTAGAAGAAGATCGCCTTGGAAGGAGGGCTTTGATACGGTCGGTAAGACATTGTGCATACGAACCTCTGTTCTTCCTCCGTGGCCGTCATCGAATGCCAATACGAAGTTCTTGAAATCGATAGCAGCACGATGTCTTCGAAGGAAGTCTAGGCCGAGCATGAGAAGACCCCCTTCGACATCCACAACAGTAAGACTTGATGGGTAGTAAAGATTGCCTACATGAAGTTTGGCAATGTGTACTCTCCCTGTGATGGGAACTCGGGAGTCTCTGCCCCCTTGTGCTACACCAGCAAACCGCTTGTCTAGCAGCTTAAGAATACCGGATTTCTCTGCGGAGGTCACACTTATGACTGTCGCTTGTGATCCAGTGGCAATTCGAGCATTGAAATGATGTCCGTTGATTTGGACTGGCACAAAATATCCCGATGCCCAAGGTTCCGGCGCTGGTAGGGGTTGCGGAGATCGCTGGACGAGATGTTCGTAATCTTCGCCCATTAAACTTTCTCTTCGGTTCTTATTGTCTTCGATGTCGTATTTGAAGCCGTCGTCTGACCTGTTATCATCTTCGTCGTCATCCATTTTAGGTTTGCAAAATCCTTGGGAACGTGTTCGGTCTCGTCTTCAATCATCAACTTAATTGTTTTGACACCGGCAATCGACGCCAACGACCAAGTGGTCACAATCATCTTGACATAAGGGCTATTCATTGTCGTATGGCGCTGGGAAAAAAAGCTCTGGACTAATGTAAGAAACCTGATGCGACTATTTGGTTCACACTGGTCAATAGAGTCGACAACGATGATAACATTGCCACAATCTCTGTCTCCGCACGCTGCCATAAGAATGTGCCATAACACCAGAAGGTCATTAGAGGCTCGGATACCATCAGCTAAGATACGCGGGGTGGCGTGCTTCTTTAGGAGGTTCGGTTGAGCAAATAGCAACTGGTGCAAAAGTCCCCTTACGATCTCACTTGCATCTCGGAGTGGTAGGATTTCATGGTCGCAAAAGAAATGTAAAATTGTGCATGAGTCCAAGTTTCGAGGTTTCTTTACGCACAATTCACGAATGAGGATCGATGATATAGACGTTCTTTCGCAACTTGAATCTCCTGAAATCCACAGAAGATTTGAACGGTGTGCATCCATCCACCGTTTGTACTTTTTGTGTTGAGAGATCCAAGTACAGGTTCTACGAACATCTTTAGAGCCACTCGTCTTGTAAAACCAGCGGACAGGGTTGAACAAAGTGAGTAGCCACAGCTGCTCGTTGGTGTCCAGTGCACAAAGCCCTATGACATATTCTCAGTATACTCTGAAGTGCCTCTATAGATACATAGGACTTACGGCTAGTAACATCCTGACGTGCAGATTGCTGCCGAAGTCGGGAAACACAGTGTTGAAGTTCGCTCATCCCACGGTTTCGTAAGTAAGCTGTTTTTGCTGAAACGATAGTAGGAACTGCGGTGTATTCATCAAGTCCCACATTTTCCAAGCCTTCTTCGACGTTGAAGCGAAAATAAGAGCCGAACAGGCCCAACTCCTTATGCTCCGACTCGAAGTCTTCGGCTGTACGTCCAGCTTCTGCAACAATTGCTTTCAAAGTTTGAATGACGTTCGATTGAGGTGGATCCATCGTGGGACTCCAATCCCAATACTAATCAGGCAGTGAATCCTCCTATTCGCATTGGACCATATTCTCCTAGCTTCCCGCAAGGTCTGTCTAACTGAGTTATTCCAACTGGTTACACCTTCGCTGAGTTGACCATTGGATGGCGGAACTGCGGGTTCGAAAAAGGGTGTAGCGGCTGAGGTTGCACGGCAGGCTTCCCAGATCATACAGTTGTCTTGGGACACTCCAGGCGAGTCGTAATTTCGAAGCAATATCGGTTCAATAACATCTTGAACGGCGGCGCATACAAAACTATGAAAAAACAATGTCAGACTAGACACTTGGTGGTATAAGTATACAATCATGATCTTACACTTTGCATTGCGGGTCCTCGGATAGCTTTAATCTTGCATCCGCGTGCTCTCCAGCTCCTCGTACAATCTCCTTCACGATTTGGGTTATCTTATCTCCGTCAAATCTTCTACTGACCTGGTCGAAGCCTTGCGCTCGCCTGAAAGGGATTCTCAACTGCCTACGCGGGTGAAAAGCCCCCTTGGACAGTTGCTGATAAGCATCTATACATTGTTGTATGTCCATGCCCAGGCGACCAAGCATAATCGCAATGAGCCTGCTGTAGTCAATACAACCCCCGATATGTATCTAGTAGAGGTGTTTGAACCATACCCTCCTGTGCTGGTCCATCCAATTGGGTCAAAATAGTCGCAGGGTTTAGGAGGATTGTCCGGATTGACTGATCTCATAAGGTCCTGCAGTATAAAGAGGGCCGATAGTCCATGAATTCCGCCGCCATCTGGTTGGTCAGTGCCATGCATATATGACCAAGATAGTGCCAATCACCTAATGAAAGCAATCGCAAAGGGTCCCCAACAGTCGCGGTGTCGATTTCCATATCAGCTCAGCCTTACTCGAGATGTCCCAAAATTGTGAATTGGAACCCTTTCAAGCGAGTGGTTAAATAAAGCGCTATATCGTGTTGGTCTGCTTTGATAATGGGCAGTTGAATGACTAATATGTTTCACGCTCTAGTTGGAGAGGAAGTTGGCCAGAGAGAATATGCTGATGTGTAGCTATATTAATCCTTGGAACGGGGCGTGCTTATACTTTGGACAAGGAGTGGGTCGGGTACGCGCCCATTGAAAGCCTGCGGCGCTTAAATCACAAGACACTACTGTAATGCCGCCGTCCAGCATCTATACTAGTCCCAATCCGTACTGACACGGCCTGGCCTTGTTATATAATTGGAGAGCCGGTCAATGATTGTGATAGCACGTACGAGTGAAGGGTGCAAGACTAAAGACGTGTTCAATTCACTACTACTTGAAATATTAAAATGTAAAAAGACAGAGTGAGGCGTGGAGAAGCTGCAATTAATATATCCTTTGTTAGATTACGTGATTACTACTATCCTCCGGTGCAGGCTCTACTCAGGTGATCAGGCTCGCTCAGGTTCTGCTCAGGCATGCTCACTTTCGGCTCAGGTTAAAGCAGCAGTTGCACACGTCCGCAGACCAAAACGAAACCAGCGAAAGGGAAAATTAATCCTGATAGGTAGTGAATACGGAAGCACTCAAAGATCTTTTAAAGCCCCTTTTCTCACCGAGATTCTACAGAAAATGGTCGGTTTCGATACTTCGTGTCAGGGTTTATCTCTTGTAAGAGGGAAAAGGCCGTGGATCGTTGGAGATCGCGACTATGTAGTTTGACATGAACACAGCTTTTCAGACAGAACTTATACTCTATATATGCGTCAGATTTTGAGTGCCCACCATGACTTGACAATGAAAGCATATTCACGTGACGTACCATAAGATCGACTCGTCTTCATGATTCACTCTGTTCAGCAATCTCTGTGTACAACAGTCTCCATCGCACATACACATGAGTAAGCGTTTCGTCCAATAGTGATTTGTATCAGCTCGGAAGCCATCCAATCTCCTCCATGGGCCATCTCATCCACATCCTATACTCCTCACCCAACGAAGAATAAATCTCCGATATCAAGTGCTCAGCCCAACCTTTCGCCCACCACGACGAAGCTAGATCATTCAATAAAACACAAAAATGCGATAAAATAACCAAAGGTATCGGTCTTCTCTGATACAACAATTCCACAAACTCATCTGGTAGTCGATACAGCCACACAAAGACAACCTGTGGCGAAGGCTGCGTCACTCTTGTCCCAGGACTGGTGCTGGCAGGAAAAGAGCGACCAAGATCATCAACAGTCCTCAAGTACAGAGGAAGATCGGGATCATCCGTTGCGGTGGATGTTATCAGTTCTCTCAAACTTTGGAGATGTTCATCGTTGACCGGCTGCAGGAAAATCTGGTGGATGGAGATATGGAACATTGGTGCTAGTTCGCCGTGGCGGAGTAAGTCGAAATTTGACTCTAAGATGGATTTCATGCCTCGGAATATGATCAGCCATTCTGCTATACCTTGATCTCCGAAGAGAAGGAAGTCTCCTGGTTTGGGACCTGAGGCTAAGGTGATGAGACTGCAGAATGTCCCGAAGAGGTAGAGAGCTGGAGTGGTGTCTTCGTTGATATTAGGTAAGAGAGAAGTTGCTGTTCTCAAGGCGATTTCGTAATGATGCTCGGCTTCTCTTTGATACCGTAGCTGAGATTCTCCTCTTTTGAAACGTGAGAGGTGGAGGGCTGACATTGCGAGGATGGCGTGCAGTACGAACGGATGTGCGAATGCAAACTTAGGAATGTTGACTCTAAAGAATGACTGCAATGCAGCAATATTAGAGAGAGTATAAGCTAAGTTGAAGTCAGTCGGACGGTCTGAGCAGGAAATTTGCTCATGTGAGATGGAGATTTCCCGTTCTGCTTACCAGTTGAGGTGTTGTAGTTGTGGAGTAATTCAAGATCCATAAGATTTAGCATATGGCTCTGGCCAAAGACACTTCCTTCATTTAAGCTAGGGCTGCTATTGCTAATGTTTGGACTTGCGCTTTGAGAGTCTAGTCCATGATACTGTATCCGAGGACCAGTGGCGCTGACTTGGGAAGTGATCAGAAAGCTGCATTTGTCGGAATGTTTGAGACAATTGTTGCATTGGGGTTTCTCTTCATTACACTGCGGGCTCTGTCAGCTATGCGTCCCGTGATCTTGAGGTTCAAGAAGAGAATCCACCTTGATGCGGCGTCGTTTGCAGTTTTGGCATCCATTCCGTGATTTGCGATGGGATTTTCGCGACACTTTCGGCCCAATCGAGCCGTGGTGTCCATCAACCTCGGACGCAGTCATATTAACGGATTTTGCAGTAAGCGCAAGTTTTCGTGCACCAATGCACCATGGGAGGATCAAGTCCAGAGTGCTCTGAGGAGGTTCTGGGGATTCACTCTCAAATACGCTGGAATACGGTGTAAGAAAGCTTTGCTGCGCCTCGAAAGACGCCGACAACGAGCGGACTCTCATCGTATACGAGTTCTCGTATCCGGAAGAAGCTCGCGGGTCAGGGCGATAGGTGGAAGGCGAATCAGACCTCTTCTTGGGTCTGGAAGTTGCCGCATGTTTACGTCAGCTCTGCTTGTCCGACACCACGATGTTACGAGTGCCAATACGACCGTGATACGAGATACGAGGCCCCACTACAATTACGAGTAAATGAAGTTTTCTCGCATGATCCAGGGCAGATGACATAAGGTTACCAGTCTGAAACAACAATTGCAATCGAAGAAGAGACTTGACTTCACCAACAATGCCAGATTTATTATATCTCTAACAAAGCAGAGTCTGCCTAGCAGGTAGCAGGGTGCCTTCTTTACAAATTTGTTGTGTTCCGGGGCAACCACTCGTATTAGTGGCCTAGAGAGTGCCGTGATGCATCAACGAAACACCAACTTCGCCCCAACACGGCGCAGAGCAGGCTCATTTGCCAGAGGTCCATAAGCCCAACCAAGCTGCTTACTGTCGCGAAATAAAGCGAACGAGTAAGTGATGCGCAGGAATCCTCTCGTACTACCGTATGCTCGTATCGGGGGGTTATGCATGTTCGGTGGGTTCTGAGCTTCAGGAGCAACAGAGTTGGAGGAGATCTCGGTAGTGATGCAACATCTATTTTGATACTGTACACGGCAAAGGCAGCCATTACCCCAACTTTTCTTCTGTCCTTTCTAGATTTGCTTTCTTTACGAGTTCATTCTGGGTTCGAGCGGAACTCTTCGTCCAATATGGCACAATATCAGGTTTACGAAATGCCTTCTTCTCTCGATGCACTCGAGGGGCACGAACTGCCTTCCTCCCGAACATCGAGTGAAACCTATCTGGACAGCCCACCTGCTTATGAGGCCGTTGCTGGACAACTTGCTCAGGAAGCTGCTGAGGTTCGAGGTAACAATCATTTATTTTCTTCGGAAAGATGTAATCTTAGATGCTGACCATCCACAGATGATGGACGTATCACAGTCGACTTGAACTCCAGACTAGCAAGGACTTTGTCGAAGTTCATGCCAAAATGCCCCATCTACTCTGCAGGAGAAGATCGAAGAGGGGAGAAACCTGCTCAGGAACCCAAGCCAATATCGTGGAATGTCAAACTTAACATCGTGGTGCAGGTTGTCGGCAGCCGGGGAGATGTGCAACCATTCATCGCTCTAGGAAATGAGCTGCAGAAACATGGACATCGAGTCAGATTAGCGACTCACAACACCTTCCGGAATTTTGTCGAGAGCCACGGACTGGAATTCTACCCTATTGGCGGGGATCCTGAGGAGCTTATGGCATACATGGTTAAGAATCCCGGATTGATTCCCAGCATGAAGAGTTTACGACAGGGTGATATCCAGCAGAAACGCGCAATGGTAGCACAAATGTTGACTGGATGTTGGGAATCCTGCGTTGAACCTGATCCAATCTCTGGAATCCCTTTCGTGGCCGATGCAATTATCGCGAATCCTCCAAGTTTCGGTCACGTCCATTGCGCCCAAGCACTTGGCATTCCGGTCCATCTCATGTTCACGATGCCATGGACGAATACAAGAGCTTTCCCTCATCCTTTGGCGAATTTAAAGAATGGTGGGAAAGACAGCAAGCTGGGAAACTACACTTCATATAGTGTCGTGGAATGGTTGACTTGGCAGGGGTGAGTTCTTACACTGATGTCCGTTGCTCAAGCTAATGGACTCTGTAGTCTAGGAGACGTCATTAACAACTGGCGAGAGACCATGGACCTGGAACCAGTCTCATCAATGGATGGACCAAATCTTGCGGCTCAGCTAAAAGTGCCATTCACTTACTGTTGGTCACCTGCTTTAGTCCCGAAGCCTATTGATTGGGCTCCTCATGTCGGTACGTATCTCTCTTCAAATCCTAGCATGTTGACCGCTGCTAATATTTGTTAGACGTTTGCGGCTTCTTCTTTCGAGAGGCACCCAATTATACCCCACCACCAGAGCTCGATGCATTTCTTCGTGCCGGAGAACGACCGGTGTACATCGGCTTCGGCAGCATCGTTATTGACGACCCAATCAAGATGAGCAATGTGATCATCGAAGCCGTACATAAGTCCGGTGTTCGAGCGATTATCTCCAGAGGTTGGAGCAAACTTGACGGCCCCGCCATGGACAATATATATTATCTGGGAGATTGTCCTCACGAATGGCTTTTCCAGCACGTTGCGGCGGTGGTGCATCACGGTGGAGCTGGAACGACTGCTTGTGGTCTGCTGAACGGAAGGCCAACAACCATAGTACCTTTCTTTGGAGAGTAAGTGTTTCCCTATCCGCTCCCAAAGATATACTGATTTGTGTTCCAGTCAACCATTCTGGGGCAACATGGTGGCAGCACGAAGGGCAGGACCAAAACCAATTCCTCACAAAACACTCAACTCACAGAACCTGTCAGAAGCGATCTCCCTCTGCCTCACTCCAGAAGCAAACGCAGCAGCCAAGGACATTGCCTCGAGTATGCAACAAGAATCTGGTGTACGAACAGCAGTCCAGTCCTTCCACGACAATCTCCCATTTGAGAAGCTGTCATGTGACATCCTGGTAGATCAACCCGCATCATGGGCTTACAAGAAGAAAGGGAAATCATTGAAGCTCTCCAAGCTCGCTGTCGAGATTTTAAGGACAAATCATAAATTCGATACAAAGAAGCTGGAGCTGTATGAACCGCGGCCAATTCACATTACAACAAAATACTACGACCCAGTTTCCGGCTCCACAGCTGCTTTCATAGGCTGGAATATCGATGTTGTGGAGGCTGCTGCTGGAATGGTCACCAAACCGTATAAGGAGTACAAGGTTGGTCGTACAACTACGAGCACCAAATCCGTCACATCGGAAACCTCCAGCTTGCGCACAAGATCGTCGTCTTCGAGCACCGAAGTCGAATCTTTGACCACCGTTTCTGGCATAACATCACCTACTAGCTCCAGATTCTCTTCCTCGAGAAAGAGTGTGGATGTTTCCAGCCCACCAGGTTTTGGGTGTACCGCTGCGCGCATGGCCGGCGCGAGTGCCAAGAGCTTCGGGGATTTGAACGTGAAGGGCTTCAAAGGCTTGCTGGTCGACATTCCATTGGCAACTGCTGAGGGACTTCGTAATGTGCCTGCTCTGTATGGGGACAAAATCAGAGATCACGGCACCGTTACAGATTGGAAAAGTGGAGCGATGGCAGGTGGAAAGGCGTTCATGTATGGGATGGGGGAAGGACTTACAGATATCTTTGTTGAGCCGTATAAAGGAGGAAAGAAAGAAGGCGTGGTTGGTGTTGCGAAAGGTGTGGGGAAGGGGACTGTCACCCTGCTGACGAAGACTGGCTATGGTGAGTTTTCTTGAATTGAAATTTGTGCTGTACTGATGATCTTAGGAATGCTGGGGTTGGTGGCGTATCCAGGGCAGGGAATTGCAAAGAGTATTCGAACTGCGGTGAAATCGAGGACTCGAAAGGTTATCGCGAATGTTAGACACGAGGAGGGGCAATACTTGTTGAAGGGACCGATTGGAAGGGAGATCAATCACGCTCAAGTCACTGCTGTGTTTGACCACTTCATGGCAGCAGAAGGAGCAGCACCACGAACGTAATGACTTTTGACGAACTTGCGGGGTATATGATATTGATTTGGCATGAAAAAGGGAGAGATTGTGATACCCGCGTAGATTTTTATCTTTGCAATCAGAATAACAGAGTATATTTATCGAAGACATAGACTTCGTGAACGACTGAAAGAATTTGAGTCTTAAATGGTTCAGGTACATATCCTCTTATTTTTGAACCTTGTCCTTCTGTAACACACGGACCGCAAATAGAACGCAAGTACTCTTCACAATCTAACTCCGGGAGGAGGGTTCGCCCAGCGGAGATTAGCCTTCGTTGCAGCCGTCCAATTAATTCCCAGCATCCGAAAGAGACGGACATTCCGTCCGAGTACTTCTAAAATACATCATGTCCAATAATGTGATTCAATCGGGACTTAATTCAGATTCTGTTTATTCTACTCAGTCATTAGGAGGCACATAAGTACGGGGTTAGCGAGGTAACTCAAATTCATCCATGCCACATACCCAACACCAACAAAGAAGGATCATTGCTTCTTATGCAAGGCTACATTATTGAACTAAAGTAGAACTAAGATCGCCGACCCAGATTTGTCCTGTTCCCCTGTTTCCAAGTTCCCGGTGAAATAAGCTTCTGCAGCTATGTACAATGATTGGACATTGAACGGCAACCCGTTGCCTTGGAACCATGAACTCCCTGGAATCTACTACGATCTCCCGCATTACTGCACAATTCTTATTCATCAATCGCGAGCCGTTCCAAACTGATTATTCCACTTCTTTCCGATGATGATTTCTACCCAGTAAACAAATTTGTGGACGTGCTGTGCCATGATTCCAAATCGCGCCGTCAGCCGCAAATGTATTGCGATTCGCACCCGCCTCAGCCTCTGAAAGATTCCATCTCGCGCTTTCCTCTTCGAGAATGTTTCTTTCTGAATCTTGGTAAACGCAAGGGGAACGAGATTGCTTGTTGGAATTCTTTGGTCTGGAGGCCTTGTTTGGTGTAAGTGCTGACAACAAGTGATGATCGCAATGGAGTTCGGTTTGCGAGCGTTGGGGTACATGCATGGAGTCTTTTCAATAATGTATATAAAGAGTCGAGGATCAATGTGATAATTAGCTCTCTAGAGCATACGCTTCTGCTTCCTTCACTTTCTGCAAACAAAACTGTTACGAGTAAGACAGCCTGCAGCTTCCACCACAATGAAGCTCTCTGTTTCTGTCGTCTGTCTCTTTCTGTCCTCGCTCGGCCATGGGCAAAGTCCAAAGGTATGAGATGTCTTCAGAAAGTACGAGCCCTGGACACTGACCCTTGAAATAGCAAGAACAACTAGCCGAGTATCTAGTCAATACCCAAGGCCAAACAGAAACAACAGACACGGGCGTGATCGATAATACCACAACTTCGCTGAGAACAGGCCCAAGAGGATATGTGTTGCTCGAGGATACCATCAATCGAAAGAAGCTGCTACACTTCGATCGTCAACGAGCACCTGAGAGAGTAGTGCATGCTTTAGGACACGCTGCATATGGTAATCGCTTGCCTCATAAGATCACAAAAGCTCAAAATCTAATATAGATAGGAAATTTCGCTTCATACGGAGACTGGAGTAACATCACATCCGCGTGCTGGTTGAAAGCAAACGCAACCAGCGATGTCTTCACTCGCTTCTCGGTAGTCGTTGCTGGAACGGGAGGCGCAGATACAGGTCGAGATACACATGGATTCGCGACGAAGATATACAGTGGATGTGGGAACCAAGACTTGGTCGGCAATCATGTACCGAGTTTCTTCATCACTGATGGAGCTTTGTTCCCTGATTTGATCAATGCCGTCAAGGCAGAACCTGACAAGGGATTTCCTACTGGTGAGTTTTTTGCGTTTGAATATATTCAGGTGCTGATACAGAATAGGTGGAAGTGCGCATACGACGGCATACGATTTTTTCACACAGAACCCGGAAGGTGCAGAGCAATTGATGGCTGTTCTGTCTGATATGGGGATTCCTCGGTTTGCCATTCTATCCGAGATCTTCAAATGCTTACTGACATGAACAGTGACACTCGACATATCGCTGGCAACGGCGTTCATACATACCGATTTATCAATGCTGCTGGGAAATCGACATTATTTAAATGGTACTGGAAGCCGATGCTTGGATATCGAGCCATGGTATACGACGAGGCCACCAAGATCGCTGGAAAGAACAACAATTTTCAGCGCATCGATCTTTGGAATTCAATCGAGGCTGGAATGTATCCGGAGTGGGAGTTCATGGTACAGATGTTTCCTGATGATGGACAGTATCGATACAAAGGGATTGATCTCTTGGACGCCACTCAGGTACGTTTTTCAGATATGTCTTGAACATCACCGCTGACATCGACAGATTGTTCCATTTGAGATGAACACACCAATAGCTCTAGGGAAATTGACACTGAACAAGAACCCCACAAACTACTTCGCAGAGGCGGAATCAGTCAGCTTTGCGCCTTCCAACGTCGTGGACGGAGTATCATTCGTCCCTGATCCTCTCCTCCAATGGCGACTGATGTCTTACGATGACACTGCCACACACAGACACAATTCACCAAATGGTTATCTCCTCCCGGTCAATCGTCCTATTGTACCCATCAACAACAATTACCGTGATGGCTACATGCAGCCACAGCTCTTCGAAGGCCCTTCTGATAGTTCTCCTGACGGCATTGGTGGTGTTCAACCGTCTTCATCGGAAGACAACCTTGAATTCTACCCCGAATCTGTATCTGGGATGATCGGTCGTTACAAAATCATGAATGATCCTTTTACCCAGGCTCGCGCTCTCTGGTTTACCATGGATCAATACGCGCAGCAGCATACTGTGGATGCCTATCGATTTGAATTGGGTCACGTCTCTAACCCAAACGTAACGTCGAGATACATCGCCCAGATATTGAACCCGATCAACAACTGCCTTGCTCGACGTGTCGCATATGGTGTCGGTTCTCCCATGCCGGCTCTAGGATCGGGATCGTCGATGGTGCCAAACACCACATATCCAAGTTTGTTCCCACTTGGCTCGAATGCTTCGCAGCCTGTGACGGGGTTGATGGTGGGGATCCTGACCACAACCGATTCAATCTCTACTTCTGCGTACAATGACCTGACTTCCGTCCTCAACTCCAATCAAGTCTTGTTTGAAGTCGTTGCCTCTCATCTGGGACCATTGGCTTCAGGTGTCAAGGCTAACCAATCTTACGTTACAACCTCATCTATATTCTACGATGCTATCATCATCGTGTCTGGAACTCAAAACTCTTCGGCAGTGCCTATGGTGCAACAAGGCTTTGTGGAGGAAGCATTCGGTCATGGGAAGCCCATCGGAGAAATTGGTAGCGGATTCTTGACTTCGCTGAGTCTGGGCGGTATTGGGACGTTCGTTGATGGAAATACAGAGACTTTGACTAAAGCGGTGGTCACGGCGTTGCAGTCTCCTGGGCGATATCCTCAGAGACAACCCTTGGATGATGTTACCAGCATTTGTGGATAGCTTGTCTGACTTCTGTACATTGTCAGCATTTCTTTCTATAAAACATGCAATGTAATTAGGGAATGGAAATAATTAGCAATAAATTTGGGGCTATTTTACGTGGGAAATTCACGTATAACCATAAATTTAGATCTTCACTTCAAAAGGCTCTTCTGCGCATGCGATCCTTGTTGTGGTTTACGCCAGTGAGGCTAACGCTTTTCGGATCAGAGGATCAAACGAGTAATTCAGATCGAAATCCAACTCGCCAGAATATGTTTGTCCTTTGCGTAAGGGTTTTTTTCGCCCCTGTGACTAGGGCAGTATGCAGCCATCACAATGAAACATCTAATCCACATTTAGAAATAAGCATTGAAACATACAACGCAGAAATCGAACATAAAATCTTCTTCGAAAATAGAACGAGCCTCGGATAACATGGAGCAGCTCCACCCCACATACTCAAGATGTTTGCGGGGCCGTTGAAAGAAACTCAAGACTGCTCAGGGGTTACTCGTTAGCTAAGCGAATTAACACCCTCGACACCTCGCCAAGAAATTTCATTTACACGTGTGGCTTTACATCTTTTAATATGGATAACTCAAGTGCGTCGTGGGGTCTTGTTCCCTTGGGCCTTTAATTCCCCGCCTTTCTCCGCAATATGCAGTTTACTGATTAGCCTCACATCCGCCTCCTGATACTCGGTGCTGTTGTTCAGTGCCGCAAGAAATCTACCGAGCTTGCAGACTAGCCAGAAGATATGAAAAACTTAAACAAATTTGATGCCGCGAACAAATAGCCACTTCAAATGTTCCGGTGGGTTGCACGATTGAAGTACTTATCTATCATCGCGCCCACGTTGTAAACTTCCGCGACTCCGTACGGATCTCAACTCTACTTCCCCGGGAACGAAGCATAGACAAAATGCAGCTCTTAGCAACTGTCGCGACATTTGTGGCTTTCGCCGCGTTTGGCCACTGCCAATCCATAACGAAAGTCAACGCCTTCAAAGATGGTCCCACCAATCTAGGAATGTACGTGTACGTAAGAGCTGAGGCCACCGGGAATGGCCCACTTAAGCGAAACTCAACAAATGAGACCTTATTTACCAAAAATCATAATTCTTTAGTCTTCTTATGAATCTCTGTGAAAATGGAACTTATTATTAATTAATAGTAGCCATACTCTTGTACTTGATTACATCCTCAATCTTACAAGTCAATTGCTCAGTGTAGTGGCGAAAGTCACGTGGGTCAACTCGGTCCCATAGCTTTTGCAACTCCCTCTTCAAATCCACCTTATTTTTGGGCACATAGTCCAAGTTTTTCAATTCCTCCTTCATCCACCTCCAGAACTTCTCAATAGGGTTCAAATCTGGTGAAGAAGGAGGCCAATTAAACCCTCGGATATTGTGCTGTAGTCTAGGTAATCTGGCAT